TAAAGAAAGCCTGCTATTTTCAGGTTCTTCCATTCTAGTTACCCTGGCATTGTGATGGGGCCTTTTGTAAGAGTACAGTCAAACAGTGCAAGTTCACGTGCAGGTTTCTAAAGAACAAACCCAACATCAGGATTTGGGCTTATGCTGTTTCTGTTATTTGTTAATTTAGAAGGAATTAAGAATATTTAATTGACTTCCATGGAAACTAATTTAACAGAGCTCAGGCTGAGCGTGTTTTAGAATCATAAAGAAATGCTGAAAAGAACAGAGAATCCACATCATTTTTCTCCATTCAAACTAAACGTAAATTAAACTACTGATTTACACAAGAGATGACTCAAATTATCCAATAGAAGCAGCATTTTTTACCCTTTATTCCCATAGAGTTCTCCCAAAGTTTTTGATTTAGAAAAAAAAAAAAAAAAAGAAAGAAAGAAATAAAGCTAAGTAAAAGGTTCTTGATTTGAAGATAAGGAATAAGAAAAAAGGTTCTTTATTTGAAGGTAAAGAATAAGAAATACAAGAGGGATTTATGTGAGACTTTCCTCTTAGGAGGAAAAGTAAAGGACCCATTTGCTGGGTAGCTTTTTGTATTTCTGTCCCTCTTTCCTACTATGTCCCTCTTTGCCAGGGAACCAAAGAATTCTCTTCAATCTGTGCAAGTCACAGGTAGACAGTTATCCTGAAATAAGCTGGATACTGCTCTCCAGGAAGATCTATAGTTAGGCAGGCTGTTCTTTTTACAAGGGAAATTTACAGAAGCAGCCACCCAGACACTTGTGGAAGCTGAGTAGTTTACTTTGAGGCACCATCAGAGATATAGCACTGTAGTAGGCAAAAGGTCAGTACATTTTTTATTTGTTGTGAATTGCAAATTACGTCTCTTCTTGATCTTGCACTGTCTTGGATCTTTCACAACCAGTTTACTTTTGTGTTGCTTAGTCATATATAATGAATGAACTAGGATGTACAATCCTTACACAAAGAGATGAGAAAGCTTTTCTGACTTTGGATCAACAGAATCCCAAAAGCCAACACCTCAAAGAATTCATAAAAGTACCAAACACTTTAGGTATTTTCTTTGATGTGCCTTTTAAAACATACTTTGATGTTTCTTTACTATAGGAATTTCTACCTTTTGTAGTTCATCATGTAGTATTGTTTTAGCTAAATAAGTAATTGTCATGGAGACAACCAAACCTCCTGTGCTGATAAACATTGACATATCACCAAGCAGATGAAGAAACATCTTTGTATTTGCACGCATCTAACAGAAGATGATAGTCAGTAAAATTGACCCCTAAAACACTGAACTTTTAGAAACTGTAGACAGATACTGTACTGTGATAAATGAGATGGCCTAAATGGTGATACTATCACTTATCGTTACCAGATTGGATGTCCTTGTAACTTTTTATCTATTTTTTTGTCACTTTCTTATCTATCTCAATGTTTATTTGCTTAACATATTACTTTCACCCCTCTGTCTTCTCTGCCCCCTCAACTTCTTCTTCTCCTAATTGCCAATGAAAGCTCTTTTCCATTCCTCAGCTTCTCTCTGCATCATTTTATTTTATATTCATTGCTTTATCATAGTTTCTACATCATCAATCATATACTTTTTTAACTTCTGATCTATGAGAGGAAATAGAAACTTGTTCTATTCTTAAAACATCTAGATCAGTCTGTGCAGCTGTTTAGGGTCTTGCTCAAGCAGTGAGAAGTGTTCACTCCCTCAATCTGGAGTGAACAGAAGCTTTCAGTCTCCCATTCAGAAAAAAAAATAGGCAATGTGCTGTGGAAGCTTATGTTTATCAAGGTCATGTAAAGGTATGAAGTAAAAGGAGTGGTGCCATATATGGCAAAACTGTTGCTGTCTCACAGGTATGTAGTAAAACTGCAAACATATTTGCACAGAAGTAATAGATGAAAAAGAAGGTAACCAAGTGCAAAGTCATTTAGGTTTCCACTATCCTGCAGGGGAAATGAAGCAGATCCTTTAAAGGAAACACTGAAGAATCACTTAAAAAGTTAGGAGGGGAGTGACTGAACAACAGAGTAACATAAACCAATCGAGGACAAGACTTCCAAAGAGGGATTTAATTGTTTTGTAGTACTACGGATTATAAAGATGGTTTTCTTATTCTCAAGTCTGGCAAAGAAGAGAAGACCTCAAAAAAGAATTTAAAAGCTGGGAAGAGAAACTCCAGGTACCAAAAGCATCTGAGCTTTCAGCGTGCTCAAACTGGAAAAAACATGTAGGTGGTCCCTTATATATTCTATGGCTGTAACTGTGCGTGCTACGTGTAACAGTGTGCTCAAACGATGCACATCTTTTCTTCTTTATACATTTCAAAAAGCCAGTGATGTGCTATTTCTGTCCAATAACATTGCTGATTATCTTAAAAACTAAATAGCATAGAAGTAAGAACTAAAAATATTCCAGCAGCCAAATGCTGTTTTGATTGTACTGAGAAACAAAATTTGACACAATAAAAACAAAAAGTGAGAGGGAGAGATATGAAAAATGTCTAATCTACAAAATGAAAACATAAATGAAGTAAAACATACTGACAAGTGAGGTGAAAAACTGAAGATGTTCCAGCAGAAAAGTTCTTGTAGAAAACCTCACCATTTCTGGCTACTTCTGCTATGATGTTAGCTACTTTTGCTGTGCAGGAAGACTGGGGCATCAACAGACTCGCAAACACCTGAAGAACTCCACTTTTCTGGATTTTTTCACTTGTCTCCGTATCTGAAAAACAAATCACACAAAAATGACTTAAGCATCAGCTTTGCTTGGAGAAGGAAAAGGAAGAAAAAGAATGTAAATTTTCTCAAATGTAATTCTCAAAGTTATTGCTTTCCAATATACAAGCAGACATATTTCAGTGATCATGTTTGCTTTGCATGATGCATTCATGGAACTTTATACTTTGCCATTCAGAATCAGTCTTTATGGGTGACTGCTTATAAGTAAATATACAAACATACTCATGCATGCACTGAGCCACAACTGGAGAGAGGGAGAAAGATTAAAGGCCATGGAGTGATATGATCTGCAGCAGCCTGAAATACTGTGTAAAAATCAAGGAATGGTGCTCTGAAATGTATAATGATGGAAAACATTCAAAGAATGATGGGGATATCCCAACATCTGAGGGCTCAGAGTAATGCAGAAATCAGAAACTGGAGAAGGAGAGCTAAGCAGATCCTAGTCTAGACCTCATTTAACTCAAATGTGTATCTTCTGTATTACTTTGCTAGGCTATGGTAGCTCCAACACAGTCCCAGTAGAAGGGAAAAGGAAAAATAACACTCAGATTGCAGATTTCAGAACAAATCATTTCCTCTTTCTGCCTGTTTTACAGAAGGAATTGTGCAGTTGCTCCACAGTAAAGGCTCCACATAGCATTACTAGCCTGCAGCTCTGTACAAACTGTAAATGAACTTTGATTCCCTGCAGTTAAAGATCGGGTACTGGATACTAACACCTATCTTGCAAATGCTTTCAAATAGTTTGCGGTTTTGAGTTAAATATTAGTGTGATAGACTATTAGATGGCAGCTACAGCTTCAGAACGCAGCATAGAAGCCCAGGAAGTCATCTGGAGTAGCAGTGTGCAATCATTTCTTAGCTGTGCTTCACCTGCAAATAGTTAACAGCACGTCATTGGGCTCACCATCTCTTCTGTCCTCCTCTTCCCTCCTATTCCTATTCTCAGTGTTGCCATTGCCTTTTGGCCTCCAAGACAACCCACTTTAAGCGCAGGAGAGCTGCATTGGGCTCACCCTGCAGAGAATATGAATTAGAGGGGGAGAATTCAAGTCTGGCTTGCAATTCTGCCTGAGCTCTGTATTTGTTGTATTTGTTCTCTTGCGATGTTGGTCTCTGACTAGGACCACCCACTACAATATGGTGACATCTGATCACCAACAGATTAGGTAAAAACCAAAGATTGATTAATTTCAACATACACATAATGTACTAGTTGTTACTGATCTATTTGCAATCTAGTTAACTGATTTTTTAACATGTATTGAGAATTCCTCTCAGAAGATTCCCTGTAAAACAACTTCCAACTGATATGGAAACTTTTTCAAGTTCTGACATTAGCATACGCATTGTTAGCTATGTTCTCCCATGGATATGTATGAATGAAATGAAAGTCTGAATTCAGAGAAATCGTGTCAAGATTACAGACTGTTCCAGACACAGTCTATTAAAGGAGAGATGACTCTCCCTTGAGTTCAAAATTGAAAGGACAAAAATGTAGGTATCTGTGAGCCCAATGTGATTTTAACCACAGTTAGTAGGCAGGAGACATTAATGCATTTTTCTCTACTGTGCTGCTGAGACATACAGTCTTATTTTATGAGCTGTAGTTTGATGGACTTATTACTGCCAAAAAATAAATTACACAACTGGAACAAAATATTTCCTGCAAGAAATGGGAAAATAAAACAAAGTGCTTCTCCAGGCCAGGTGTGTGTAGCAGATAGGCTCTGATTTATTTTATTCTCATAAGTAAGTGTGTATCAGTAAAAACACGGTGCATAATAGACCTGTTGTAAATTGAGATATTAGCTACCTGGTATCACATAGATGAAAACAGGACATTCACTTCCATTTTCTAAGATCTTGAGCAGTACAGGAGCCACACCTGTATACACTTCCTCCTTCAGAAAACCAACATCCCATTGGTTCTGGCTGAGCACCAGTGTCAAAACTTCGCTTGTTACAATGTGCTGAAATACACTGATTCATTTCTTCATACAATTCATACAATACAGTTCATACAATACATACAATTCATACAATACATTCATACAATTAAAAGACAATTTAGGTATAGAAACTCAGCTTTCTTTTGGAGGGCTTTTGAAACTCTTACAGAAGGAAGGGTATTTTAATTGCAACAACTTGGCTTATATATAAACTTTAAGTTGCTTTGTTATATCTAGCTTTTTTGCTCAATATTCTTTGTATTTTTCTTAAAGAAGGAGGACTTAACGACAAGCAAACGATACATGGACATGCCCTGTGGAAAGCAGGACATCCAAATGAAGATCTTCAGCAATTATTTCACTTGAACTGAAGAGTCTCCTGAACATTCGCTTTCCAGGTACTAACAGTTCAAACATGTCTGTAGAAAAAAAATAACAAATTGGAGGTTTTAAAACAGGGATTTGGCAAGAATTGGAAATTGGTACTCCTGAATTCTTCCCTTTACTCTCTTCATGGACTGGAACAGGTCTGCTTTCTTGTTTCTCTGTGTATGCAAGAAAGAAGTAATATTTGCGAAAGATGCGTATCTGCTGCATGCTAGCTTCATTCTGGGCTTCCTAGTAAATAATTTGAGGCTATATTATTTTGGAATCTTATTTCAGGTATCATCTTTTGAATTGTTTCCATGTATTGTCAATTGTAGCTGAGACATGTAAAAACAAACGTTTCTGCAGGAGCAAGTGAGATCTAGACAAAACCTCTGTGATGTAATCTCCTTTTATGCTTTCTGTAATGGTGAAAAAGGGAAGTATAGCCAACATTAATGATGTATTAACAAGCTGCCATTTTAACTCCTTCAGCAGAACTATACTTCCTCACAAATTTGTTCAATTTCTGTGCTAAGAAAACCTGACAACCTAGGCTGCCTGATATTAGGGTGCTGTACCTCAAAAAATGCTTTTGCTATAAATACACATCCAGATTACATCTGCTTTCCTTTAAAGCCTGATTTTCAACTTGCAAGCACAACCCACCCACAGAGTACCTACTGATCTTATCTTGAAGGAAAGGAACTGTAGGGCTGTGATAATGCTACTTTAGAAACAGTCCTTTTGCACACAATACAGTATAATGCTGTGCCATGGCAAGCATAATTGGGGGAAAAAACCCTAAGGTCAAAACTGCAGCTTTGGATGTCTCTTCCTATCGCTAGATATCAAGATGAAGAATATGTTAGATCACACAGTGCCAAAATCTTATTAATGTCATAATAGTGTGATTAAATTGTCAATATCTTTGCTTTTCATGGTTTTTGCAGTGCCTGCAGTCAGAATAATAAAGGGTGTGAGCAGGAAATTCTTTAATGTCGTAGATCAGAACGGGAGAGCTGAGCACCAGGGCTATCAGAGTGCTTAATTAAGTAGCAGAAATCATTACAGGAAAAAATCCAATTAGATTGTACGCTCTCCTCTCTTGGCTCTATTTCCTGTTAAGTTTTACTCCTCTCTGTATCACTCTTTTCTCATCTCTGCATCATTTTCCACATCTTCAAGTGAAAGAAAAGGCAGGGAGCAGGAAGGAAAAGGTTTATCTGTCACAAATACTGCTACTTTGTGCTCACAGGCAGCAGAAAAATATTGGTGCACAGTTCGTTTGAACAATGAATTTAAATTGTACTACTACATGGTTTTTTTCGGTGCATACAACTTCTCATTCCAGCAGAAAAAGAGTATAAAATAATATAAGTGAGGGCTATCACTGCAGCAATGCCTGTGTTGTAGAGCTTTACATGAGAGAAGAACCGTAAATGAGCAGCTCCATTAGTGTCCTCTTTATTAAGCCAACCGTGCTTACAGAGTACTTTTTTGAAAAATGTACGTATTTTTAGCTGAAGAGATGTTTTATAAACCTCCAGAAACCACTGTAGGAAATTACCATGGCTTTATAATGTCCCTCTCACATGTGCTCTCATCAGAAAGAGGAGGATGAGCATATGAATAAATAATAATGAGCCACATATATAACAGGAGAGGAACCTTTCATCGGCTCACTCACATAGCAAAATGGAAGGCGCAAGAGATGTATTCCTAACTGGTACATCCTCTATCCACCACAGTAGAAAGAAAAAAGAAAAAAGGTTCATGTGACCAAGAGCTCACATGGTATTCTGCCTCCCTGTCTATCTGTAGCCCTCCTGCTGTTTTTTTCCATACCACAAAATGGAGATTTTGGTCTGACTAAATGAACGCAAAAAGAGCCTCTGGAAAACAAATGATGTGATCTTCTGCAACAAGGTCTACATCACAGAGGAAGGAGCCAAAAAGACCACTCCAGTAATTTTTTTTTTTTTTTAAAGAAAGAATATATACAATTAATACTATATAAAAAGAAAGAAAGAATATGTACAATTAAATGCATAAATATATCTTCTGTTGGCAGCTCCTCCCCATAAATATAATCTGCTTGCTCACACATCCTTCAAATTAAAGCCCTAAGAGGGAGGGAGGATTCTCCGTCAGCTTTGTGAACGCTTTAATCATGGAGTTTGCTCTGTTCTGTCTACGGCAGCAGCAATAGGGCAACTTCAGCTCTTATTTTTAATGAAGAGAAGGAGATAGTGCACAGATGTTGGTAATTAAAATCTCAGCTCTAACAAGGAAGGAAGGACAGATGGAGAGACCAATTCACCAACCAGCTAGCTGCATGATTCCTGCTGATTAAATTCTCCAGGAGCAGTATCCAAAGAATAAAAAACAAATTGTAGGATGAGACCCATGCCTTGAACAGCCTGTCGCAGGTACCAATGAAGTGAGTTAATAAACATACACACCAGCTTTCCCTCCCATGAAGAAATATGCACATTAAAACTTCCATGGGTGCTTTGCAGCACAAGGCAGCATATTAAAATTAAGCAGCTAGGATTCTCTTATCCTGAACTGTATCTAGTTTAGCACCCAGATATGTGGTTTGGTGGATTTATTTGAGCTCTTAATTCTCCCTGTCCACCTTTCTGCAGGAAGTAACCACTTTAGTAGCCCAGTTGTTTAAATAGTTTGATAATTAGTGCCTTAGTTACCTTCTTCATTGCCCGGCATCTTAGCACAAATGTCATCCATGAGCGATTCTATGTTTCGTACTCAGTCTGTGTGGACATTTTAATCTGCCTCCTCCACTACTTGTACTGGGTTCAATACAAGACCTTGGGTAAAACCTTAAGCACCCCCTCATGCGTTAGTTCTTCAGTCTGTACAACAAAAATACAAGGCCCATAGCGTAAAATCCTTTTTCCACATTTAGTTAAGTTCAGAAATGAAATCAGATTTAAAAGCTGTCTATTATACATGCAGGAAATGTTTCATATTCCTTTAAAGCAATCTCTTAAGAGTGCTCTCAATCAAGATCAAATGTCTACTGAAAAATTATCCCCAGTGCTTACTGGGCAACTGCCTACAAACAAAGGTTTTTTTCTTAGCCACTGATGTTTCAAAAAAGTTTTGTTGCCAAAGCAGCATAAGGAAAAGCTTAATCTAAAAAGAAATCATATTTGTAAGTCTTAAGGGACAGAGCTGCCAAAGCTAAGAATGAAAAAAAAAACAAAAACAGAAGAGGCCTTTTCCATTGCTTCTGCTCTGCACTTCAAAAATCTAACCTAAAAAAAAATATTTTTATATTCTATTACCTGAAACTACTGTTCACTGAAGTCTTCTGAGAAGAAAAAATATTTAACACTTAATCTTTATTTGGCACATTGTATATACAATGAATAGCCCTTGGAATTTAACACTTGGATAAACATCATTTAACTATGTGGCACTAACAATACACATCACTATTAAGGGGAATTTATGTAAAATATAACCCTACTAAGCAGCAGTGATTACCATTCAGTATCATTAAGCTAAGCCAGTTTACTGGGAGACAGTCCAATAAAAAGCAGTTGCTTTGATTTAGTATGTTGAAATTAAATATGTATACTGTGATAATGTATAATACACAGCATTTGTGTTGAAACATTTCTGCATTGTGTTATACGGTGCCTTGAAAACACAGTTTCATGAGCTAAGATGCAACAAGCATCTGCAGCAAAAAGGAGGAACAATTTATAATGCAGTATTTGAGACAAAGCTCCCTTACAAAACATCCATCAGGATTCCCAGTTTTCAGAAAAACATATGACTGTAAGTCTTATTAGCTAAACTTATTGAACTTCAATGAGCTTAACTGGCTGAGCTGGCCCAATAAGATTTGAACTTCTGGCTCTGCTACAAGAGATCATCTTGTATCCAAGGCTGACTAGAAATTCTAGCTTGTCTGAACATGTAAGTCTAAGATGTGGTCATTTCAGTTTGGCAGTTTCCCTACCAACAAACCCCTACTGCTAAAGCAGCTATTCTGCCAAAAGCTAGAAAAACAAGTAAGGTGTTTTTGCTGGGTAATGTTACTTTCAGAGGGATGTGATGTAAGGTAGTGTAGCAAAGGAATATTTTAGCCAGTAGAAACAGCATCTGTTCTAAGACAGTCTTCATCTTTTCCAAGCCTTCTCTAGCAGAATATAAAGCCTTCCTCAGAGTTTTATGTACCATCTTCATTTTCTCATCAAAACTCACTCTATGAAAATGCTCCTGTCAAATTTCTTCCCCTGTAATTCACTACCACCTAGACTTAACATCTCTGTAAACATGCAACTGATTTTATGCTTACCAATCAAAATATCTTTTGTCATGAGAAATACTCCTAATTATGCTAAATGATATCTTATTTCCTGCTAATTGGATGTTAAATGTAATTCAACTATAAATGCTGAATGCTTATGTTATGCTTTTTGCTTTACTTTTTATTGCATTATATTCCCCATCACGGAGACCAGGTTTATATGATGCTCAGCAAAGACAGTGTGCTAAGAAATAAACTTTGAAGAAAGAATACTTTTCTTGACACCTGCTGTCATATAAGAATCGAGACTGATGGTGCTGCAAAACAAAGCAATTGAATCCAAATTTTTATATCCAAATGTTTGAAGTACTCTGTCATCCACAAGGGCTGCTCTGAAAGTAATGCCTCCTATATTATTGTCCCATAGCAGATGAATGGTGGTATGGCAGCAGAGGCTGAACCTTCCCAACCAATTCCATTACATTCTGTTGCCTTTTAACAAGTGGAGCAGAGGGGCACTCTGACTCAATGGCATCTGACATGGGAGTGCGTATGAATGCAAATGTGTGTCACTGAATTCCTCCATATGGAAAAAATGGCACCCAGTGACATTTACTGACACTTGCTGAACAGTTATAGAGACCAAAGAGTGGATGTGAGCGCAGTGAGGCAGTGGGTGGTGTGTTTCAGTAGCAGTGAAAGTACCATGAAAGACAAGCTATGTTCCGGACAGCCATGCACAACAATCATACCGTGAAATGAAGAGTGCCTCAATCAGCTCATCCTCATGAATTGGCTAACAGTGGTGACTATGGTGAAAAAGAAAAAAAAAGCAAAAAAACCCAAACAAACAACAAAAAAAAAAGCAAAAAAAAAAAAAAGCATGTTGTAGCTGAGAATTTGCTCTATAAAATAGTGTTATTGTGCTCTTTGTAGCTGTTGCAGTTTTCATGGAAATAAAATGGAGGCATTACTTTTGGAGCAACTTATGCACATAACTTTTTGCAAGTTATAACTCAGGCTCAATGGGACTAACAGTACATAGGAATTTGTCCTTAAAGATAAGAATATTGGCAAATGCTGGCAGTGTCACAACCTTTCTTTCTATTTCTTGTACTAATTTTACTCTGTTCTCAACTTTCATGCAGCAGTAACTGAGTGAAATCAGTAGAAATTCTGAGTGTGAGCAGCTGCTGCAGAAGGCAGTGGGAATTATGGAGATTCAGCATCCATCGCCACTCAGGTACCTGCATTTAATTTGATGGCTTTCTTTCAAAAATTTTAACTTTACATCTGTCCTGCCCTTCCTTTATTTCTTTCCTTCCTTTAAAAACATGCACTGCTTTTATTCCTTGCTACTCCTCTACTTAGTCTCATATTTTTCCATTTCTACTCCCCCTCCCACTCTTGGTTTGAGTAGACAGATTGAATTAATTATCTCTGCATCACCGAATCCAAAGACGCTGGGTCAAGACTTAGCAGCTGCCAAACAAATGCCACTTCATGTCTCCAATATGCACAGAAAATGTGCTGTTCAAGGTGCTACAGGTAGCTCAGTGCTACAGGGCAAATACTTGTAATGTTGGCCTTGATTCTGCTACTTATTAATAAGCCAACAATTAACTGGTATCATTGTTCGCTTACTCATTTTGTGTTCTCCTGCCATTGTTGCCTGCTGGTTTGTGTTCTTGCAGCTTACTTGTTAGTAATGAGGATTAAATTGGTGAGTGCTCTTACGTGAAATAACAGTATCCAAAAGTTAATCCTACACGTGAGTGTCAAAATAGTGCCTATAGGTGGTTACTGTTTTATTTCAGGCTCTAATGCTGTGCAGAGGTTCACACTGTTACTTGATAACAATCCACATCAATCTCATCTTACTCTCACTCTGCTCAAATCTGACTGCAAAACTGGAGAAGTTTATGGCCAAGTTTGCTTGAGCAAGCCTTGAAATGCTCAGGTTTTCCTCTATACTTCAGGAAGGGAAATGAGTTAGCTTAAAATGCCTCCACAATTGGAATGAATGAAATTTATATGTAATTCTTATTTCTTAGAATAACTCTGCTAGGATAGAACATTCTACAAATTATTCTTTTCTGTGTTTGGGGTGGGAGAGTAGCCAAGCTTTTACTTTCCTGGGAACAAAACGTGAAATGACCCCTGCTTAAACACTAAACAGGAACAGAACTTTTCTAAAACCACATGGCAGTTTGATGTGCTAAAAGTTCAGTTTGTAGGTGCTTGTCTGACTTGGTGAAGAATGAAATAAGAGCACGTATGTTGAACTGCCCAAAATGTACAAAAAGGAAATAGAAAATATTGGTAAATTTTAAAAAAAGTAACTTTTCCCTTGAATCAAAGGCATTAGTGGTGACATTTGAAATATTTCAGAGAAGTGTATCTTTTTAGTATAAGTATGAATTTAGCAATTACAAAAAATTATCTCTGAATTCTTTGTGATTTTGCTGCTTGAGTACAGGAATTGTTTTGTCTTCTATGACCAGTGAAGATCAGAAAAAGTAATGTCAATTATAGGAAGAGTGTAAGTGCTAACTAACTCAACAACATATGAAAGCCAGTTAAAAAGAACAGAACATAGTGAAGAATTTCCAACTCAGATATAACCTCTGTGTTAACATATGGTTGTGAGAACTGGAAATCCACCAAGACATAAAAAATGGGAAAGTAGATGCCTTTGGAAGCAAATGCCTACCGGAGATTTGGGACATAGGACAGCAAGTCTCATCTCCGAGGAAGGAATGTGAGAAATCAGCAATCTCTGCTGAAATCCAACATTTTCTTCAGCAGATGCTAACACATCCTCCTCTGTGATGCCATCAAATAGGAACCACGAGGTTTTAGAAAACCTACTGCTGACTTGCATGAGAAAACCTGAACAGAAGGTTTAGGTAGGAGGGCTGAGCTCATGATCTTGACACCAGAAAGCTGAAACAGCAGGAAGTGATGGAAGAGATCTACTAGCAGTTGCTTGGAAAGTTTATAATGTATTTTCTCTGATGCAACATAGAGAATGTATCCAAATCAAAACAGGGCAGTATGTAGCCAAAATATGTTTTTGAGGAAAAAAAAAAAAAAGTACAAAGTAATTATACTCATTATGGGAGGAAAAGTGTCACAGCAAAGGAGCTGTGCAAGAAATGTTGAAATTAAAAATTTCATGAGTAATTTGACAGCTTCTTGAGTTATCAGGGATTAGCACAGTTCCTCAAATAGAAAACTGCATATCTTAGCCAATCACATCTCAAGGGGAGGTGTGTTGCTTTAAACCTTTCTCATTGCACCGTAACTTCTTCCAAAAGCGAGGGCCTTCCCTTCTCATTTAAGCATATCTCTATTGGTGTAATTCTGCTTTAGCATTTTTACATAGAAATGTGTGAACTCATAGGTTTAGATTCCAAAAAATGAAGTGTAAAAAATATTTGGAAATGTGTGTGCTTGCCTTTCTGCTTCAGTCACATGCCAGACACTTTTCGGAGCTAGGTGTTGAAGGCTGGGATTAGTGGGCATTTTCAGCCTCTTACACTGAGTGTATCAGAGCCAAAAATAACGTTCTCAGCAGATTTGGAGATTCCTCATCTGTCAAATCTGGGTTATGTATGTCTGCTCTAACCCCTTGTATCTGAAATGCAGCATGTCTGGACTAGCAACAACATTTTCTTTTTTCTTCTTTTCTTTTTTTTTTTTTTCTTTTCTTTTTGTTATTACTGCAGTAATTGTCCCAGAAGCTTTCAAAGAAAACCTATATTTCTTTCTCATTTTCTTTTTCTCATGCAGTCCTTTTTTTGTAGACCTCTATTTGAGGATCTCAGGATAACTATTTTTTTGATAGATGCAGTATTTATGAGATAGTGCTTAGTGAGTATAAATCACTACACAGTGATATGCAGTGAAGGATATTGCCTTCTTTTGTATTTTCTTTACAATTAACCTATTGTTTCCTAAATCCAACAGTATATAGTCATGTTTTTATAGATGTGAAGTCAAAAATAAAGCATTTTCTACTTCTCACAAGTGAGAATTATATAAGATTATAAGTATAACCTTTCAAAATACTTTTATCCAGTGCAGAAGTGCTTTAGCCTTCTTCACCCCCCCGCCGCCACCTCCCCATTTTTATACAGCAACACCCCTAAATTCCTAGCTGCAATGCATATGTTCAGAGATTATATTTTTCTGTCAACTTCGGCAGTCATTGGTTGGAAAGCATTTGAGCCAATAAAATCATAAATGGATGAAATTATATCCATTGTCTCACAGCATTTTTCCTACATAAAACAATTTAAGTTCAAGTTACTGTGTCCTTTGAGTTATTACAATAATGCAACACATAACATTGTGCTTTTAAAATAAAACTCCTGAAACCAAATAATTGTCTCCTTTTTCCTAACAAAGATTTTTTGGCTCCAAAATAGAATATAATTTGAACATGTAATAATCAGGTACAATTTATTATTCAAAAAGCAGTAACATTCAGTAATGAAAGCCTAATGATGCCACTAGAGACAGTATTTAATACTGCCATTTTTCTACAGTAGTTGAATTGGCAATTTCAGTTGGACAGGAAAGCAAACAGACTCCCCTGCATCATCAGCGATACTTTCACTTCCATTTGTACGTAGGGGAAAAACATCCTTCTGTAATTGTAATTAGAACAGAAACACAAAATACCCTTTGATTTCTAAGTTGCTGGTATGATGAAAATTTAGCAAAAACATCAGACCAAATATACAGCTTTGCTAACTACATCCAGGATATGCAGGCAGACAGCCCTAGGCTGCAGACACGCTATGCTGTTTGAGTGTGGTCAGAGGGCAGGCTGATGTCCCAGGGGAGGAGTGTGCTTCTCATTCCACTGTGAACACAGGCAGATGAGGAAAGGCACTGGAATGGGCTGCCCAGGGAGGTGGTGGAGTCACCTGTTCCTGGAGGAGTTGAGAAATGTGAAGGTGTGGTACTTAGAGACGTGGTTTAGTGTGCATGGTGGTGCTGGTTAGTGGTTGGACTAGAGGATCTTAGTGCTCTTTCTGACTGTGATGATTCTATGAGTCTATAACACGACCATGTTTCTCTAAGAAAAATGCATTCAGAATCACACACCAGTGTTCTTTTTCCCGATTTCCTCCTGTAATTTTTTTCTGCAGATTTTAATTCTTTTCCCTTTTTCTTTACGGACATTAAAAAGCAGCTACAACCATAAGCTTTCCATTACTCTAGGCTACTTTGTGGAAAAGAGGGAAAACAATCCCTGTTTATAGAGGTCTCAACTTATAATGGAGGGAATTCTATCATTCTAAGCACAAAATGAAATCATATTTTCAATGCACAGTTAATGTTTTTTTTTTTAAGCTGAATTGAATAAGAGGTGCAGAACCTCAGAATCAAATTCACTCACAAAGTAATTTCACCTTTTTCTTTGTCTTTTCCCATTGCTATGATAATTCTGCACTTCATATGACAGTAAACAGCCTGCTTCTGGATCAGCTAAATTCCTTCTTGACAATAACACACCAAACCATGCCCATAAATCTAAAATGTACAGAGCAGACAGTGGAGTCATTTGTTTAATATATAGTTTTTAAAAGTCAAGACACAGTAAGTGAATTTCATCTTCCAATTTGGTAGAAGGCAATATTTCATTCAGTGCACCATCATGCACCACAGCCTGCCACAGCCTGCACTTCAGAGATCTGAAGCACAGGACGTTTATCTGTTTAGAGATGATGAACGCTGGTGGATGGAAAGAGATCAAACAATTGTGTTTTCCTTTCAGAAATATGGTGGACAGAATGGCTGCAAAGTCCCTAGCTATACCAGTTGTCTTCACTGAGAATGATGAAAGAAGTTCCCAAAATAAGGTATGTTTTCATTATTGTAAAGCATTTGCAATGTGCACTTAGCTCTTACTCCTCTGCCATCGTTCCTTCTTACAGCTTATGGCCTTTAGTTTTGTCTAGTGGCTCTAGCTTGTTAAAATATGACTGGTCTCACCAGAAGCACTGAAGAAATAAATGTCCTCATAAACAGGGATAATAATCTCTCCAAACAATGTCTCCTGAAGAAACCATCTGTGCAAGATTTTTAGACCCAGGTGTCAGATGTGAAGGGCTATACAGCCATCTCTCTAGACAAAATAGTAGCTAAAAACAATTCAGTTTGACCTGCAAATTGTTTATTGGCAGCTATCACAGATCGTTATTTGACTTACCCTTGTGTTCTGTTGTACGTGTATATGCACATGCCTTAATTTGTTTGGTGTGACAAATGGCAGAATAGCTCATCAGGCTAGAGAAAAGGGGTGTCATGTTCTCTGGCACTACAGCCTGTCTGCTATTATCAAAAGATGGGTTGGCAAGAGTTATGAAAAAAAAAAACAACAAAAGGAAAGAGAAGGTTACATAAAAAGAAATTAAAAGCTATAACATTCATCACAGCTTTGCCATCTCTTTCTATGTGACAGATAATATGGGATTGGAAGAAAGTGATTTGTAACCTTTTAACAATAAAAAGTTCAAAGATTGCATGCAAAGCAAATAGAACCAAAACTGTTGATGTACTGCTGACAAATGAGATTTCCTTGTGTTCCTGCAGCAACCAGAAGACTATGCTGCATGCATGCAGGCAGCAACTAAAAGCAGTGAAATAGTCTGAGGAACATTCTTACATACATGAGGCAGGTCTGCATTGAACTTGTGGGAATTAAACATTTTTATTTGCTTTGCACAATCTTACACTGGATTTTTGGCTGGTGTTAGATGGGAATGGGTTCCATCAGAGTAATAACATTACATTATATTTTAAACAAGACATATTATTTATGTTCCTAAGTCTGAATGAAGTGAATTGAACTTAAGTTACATGATTTAAGATACTATGGTGAACTCTCAATGAAAACACAGTCCTAAAAAATTTCCTTTAAATACACTCTATTTCTCACATAGTTTATTTTTCTATTCTTATTCCAATATGATGATTTACTGAACTATAATCAGAATGTAAATTTAATTAATATAATCATACACATGGGAATATCCTAAAGGAAAGTAGAATCATTATTTCAGAAATCTTACTATTTTTTTCCTGTTACAGTATAAACAGTCTGACTTCTAATTATTATTACTCACCTTCTACATTTCTTTGAAGGCTTCCTGGTGGAAACATTTCTATTTTAATGTTATCTGAAAACACACGTAATGGAACTTTCCCATATAAAACATATTCCATGTTATCTCCCTAGACATTATTTAATTCTGCCCTCAAAAGAACAGACTAGTTAGGAATCAATCATTGTGGCATTATTCCATGAACTCTGGGGACTCTGTATGTCAGTATGCAGTCTTTGGAGAAGTCCTCGCAAACTTCACTTATCATAATATATAGGTATATAACCATATATGTGCATGTATATAAACACACATATGCAAACATATATATCTGTGTACATACAGTCAGGAAAGGTCAGAGAATCAGACTTATTAGTCCTCTAAGTTCTGTATTAATAGCTTATTCTCAAGATATCCAAACGTGACATGTCTGGAAGAAACTTAATAATGGTACACTTTTGCCCTGTAGATCACTTGTTCTTCTGTTCCAGCTCATTTCAGGCAAATCAAGTTATTTAAAAAATAAAATTGATTTAAAGCATCAAAAACTTTGCTTCAAGAAAAAAAAGAACACCATTTTAAAATGACAGGATGGTTATTTGACTTCAGTCTGTTTAAACTGTGTTCTCTGAAAGGGATGGAAGTCATCTCTTAAGCCATTTTGTCATGTTGGCTTGCTTTGTCTTAGCTTTATGTGTTACTCCTAATATCTACGTTAGTAAACTTGTCAATGATAAAACATTTGTGATTGTTTAGCCCGAAATCTTCTTTGTGTAAGACATACAGATACATAGAGACGTACTGATACACAGACACAGCTTCTGTCATATCCTCATGATATTACCATATATGCCATCTATATATATCTGATATATAGTGTGCCAAATAAGTGAATCTATGTTAGGAAGTTAGCTGAATGGATGAGAACTATTAGAAAGGACATTCGTTGGCTGCTTGGTCAAAGAAGATGGATTTTCACAATATATTGTTGGCAATATATTACTGTTGATAATAACTAGGATGTTTAGAAGAACAATTACATAATATAAGAACTTTTTGAACCCATGGATTGGATTGGTTTAAACTCCAGAGGGATTATAGTTGTATATGTAAAACTACCCAAAAGAAATGGGTCAAAATCTTAATCTGTTTATCTGATTTAGCAGCCACAAGACCAGAAGAGAAAAGATTCTGGAAGGAAGAGCAAAGCCCTAGACCATGATAGAAGAGTCATCTGGCTGCAAGGAAGTGCTGGTATGTTTGCTGTACATTAGAGAAAATTATTTTGTGTCTGCTAACCTTGTGCTGTTACAAAATTATGCAACTTTCATCAGCAAAATGATAATCTGTGTTAATTATGCTAAATACATCATCATTTTTTCATACAATTTCCTTTTAATTAAGCTTCAGATTAAGTATTAGATTTAGTAGTATTGGAAATACCAAAACCAACAGAAAATTGGATTAAAGTATTGGTTATGCCTAATAAATAAGCCCATAACAAAAGTGATTCATCATTTTCAAAAAAGTGGGCTGATCTCTGACTGAATCTCCCTGAAGAATAATTAAAATGAAAAAAGCACTACTATTAAATGCAAAGACTGTTGTTATTCATGTGACATCTTTGATGTGATACGAATGGGACTTATGTTCTACTGTGAAAAACCTAATGAATTATTTTACACCAAGAAAGCTGAAAGGCTGTGATTTGTAGAATAACATGGAGAAGAAACAAAGATTATCAGTAGTACCTGGAGTAAGGACACACGTTTCACAGCTTTTGGGGGATAAAAACTAACCAAACTAAAAAAAAAACAACCAAGCCATGCAACAAAAAAAAAACCATTTTGTTTCATTCTTAATTTATCATTTATCTATCATTTAGATAGCCAGCCCATTTCTGCTATCTGAAACAACTGGCAATAAGAAATGTTGATGTATGAGAAATGATGAAGTATGAGGAGAAGTAACCAACTACCAAGAGGAAGCAACACTCTCTTCACCAGAATTAGCAAGCAGCTCCTATATCCACTCTACTTGTCCTGTTAGGCCCATTTGTCCATCCTTGTCCTATCCTCAGTTGGGAAATTTCTTGTACTACTTCAAAATACTGGAAAAATGACTAAACAACAACTGTTTCAAATAGCAGGTATTTACTTATCACTGCCTTCATTGCCACCCAAGTGTTGCAGATAGGTGTTTAAAAACAAACAAACAACAACAACAAAAACTCTGAACAACCAATCTAGCAGCCAACTGCTTGCATGAGGTTTTAGCCACAATTTATTAACTCTCTTTTTATTCACTGATACCATGGTATGATTAAAAATTGAATGGTCCACAGAACTTACTGTTTTGTGCCAGAGCTTGAAGCAGACAGTCCAAGCATCCCTCCAAGCTATCTGCTGTGCTGTCAGTGGCTGTTATCTTCAGCTTTTTCAGGGCATCACTTAGATTATCTGCTTGGTAAACACAAAGAAAAGAGAAATCAGTGTCCTTAGCCATTTGGTAACAGCACTGAATGTAAACAGTGACTGTAAAGTAAACAAAGTTCTGTATCAGTGAAGAAGGAATTAATGTTCTGTATTCTGGGGATACAAAAAGCCAGGAGTCAAAGGGTACGCATGAAATTAAACTTTTCAAATTTACGCATGCATTTATCCTCCTGCATCTGAGAGCAGGACGCCAGCAGGCACTTCATGAAATGCTGCTGAGCAGCAATTTAGCCATCAATATTCTCTCAGCTGAGTTGGTTTACAGAACCAGCAGCAGTTATCTCTGCTTGTACACTTCTGCATAGAAAAAAATATGATGGAATTAAGTACAGTTTGAATTTTTGCCATCAGCAATGGGAAAATAATTGACAGTGCCATTTCCTGTGTGCTGTGTATGTTTCCATCTTGGCTACGCATTCACAAAGCCTCAGTGCTGAGCTTACAGCCTTTTAAGGATTATGCCATTTTCCACCGCATTGTTCTAAGTGCAAGTGCTGTTTATATGAACTGTGCTAACTCTTTAAATTTAATCCAACCATAAAAATATAAGGCATCTTCTAGAAATAAGAAACTTCTTGTGTAAATTTCAGATAATTAAATAACCCTTCCTTCTCCAGGAGAAAAGAACAACCACAAATGAACTCAAACCATGTAATGCAACTCTCAACAGCCGCCCATTTATTCTCGTAGAAGTTAGGGCAGTATCGCTGCTGCCATTTTGACCATTCTCTGTATTTGGGAGTGAGGCAGCAGAGTTGGCAGCTGCCGGCCGAGTCTCCTTGCTTTGCTCTCCGATGACTACCCTGGTGCTGAATGGGCTACCCTTTAAAACACAAGTGCTGAAGCAGTTTCCATGCCAACTCTCTCAGTAGGCAGGAATTGTTACTCCAAACAAATAATGCTAAATAGTGTCTAGCCGCCTACCATTCCTGAGTGACTAATCAGAAAGCCTTCACCCCAGCCCTACAGAACCACAGGGAAAGCCACACTTTCCCTGCTCCTCGCTTGCCCACATACAAGATGGTGCCAAGGAAAGGAGGCACAGCTGGAGCTTCCCTGTTGCTGCCGTTATTTGCCTGTTAGGCACTGGCAGCCCGCTGCAGAATCAGGATGTGCAGCATGGAGGGAGAGAAATTGCGCTCCTCCTAGAGCTGCTCTGCTTCTCAGCCTGAGCTGAGGCTTTCATCCCACTTCCATTTTGCAGCCCAATATCCCACTGAGATAAAAGTATGACGCTTCATTTTTAAAGTTCCCAGTGTTTAGGCATGAAATTGTTTATTGGGCAGTTCATTTGTTTGCTCACTAATGTGCACGTTCTTAGCTACTCTACAGACAGGAACTCTATTCCTCCTAAATTCAACTCTAAAGCCTCTGGGGAAGCTGCGCATGGTTCTGCTCCCTACCACCTGTCCTCACTCTCCTTGAACAAGCCAGCAAGAAAGAAAAATTTCTCCAGTATTGGCTTATGGTACTGCCCAGCAGCCTTAAATACAGCATGTTTATTGAACGGCACTCCATCAACAGCTCAACATGCACTGCCATGTCAGAACCTACCATAGGCAGTGAGAATGTCTCCCCATCTCTTTTCCTACAGCCCCATTTTCCGCTTCCTTTTTCTGGGGAATGTCTGCTATTTTAATATTCTACCCTTACATGTGGTATGCAGCATGATGTAATTTTCAAATGTGATCAACTAAATATTTCAATCTCTGGGATAAGTGACTCAATTTGTCATGATACTGAGCACATGTGTATCTCACTGACATATATGCACACCTAACTTTTAAAAATCAGTCAGTGCTTTTGGCAATAGTATGCCATATTACTTTTAAAATGTTGCAATATAAACCAAATTGCCATTCTCTAGATGAGATTAGATTTTCTAAGTACTTTTAAAATACGACACAGAGAAATTAAATTAGAAACCATAGGCATAAACTGTGTTTTTAAAATAAATAATGATACTACTTGAGCTTCTAACAAGGCTACAGTTATAAACCTATTGCATCCTTAGACATATCTCTTATTCTGTGCAAAAAAAGAAAACACAAGTAGGAATACTGCAGGAACACCAGACCTCTGGCCACAAAATCAGAAAGCCACAAGGACAGGAGGAAGAAGTGGCCTTCAGGAAACATATTATTGCTCACTTTGTCTCTTCTTGCCAAAGCCAGGGCTTTCTCTCTCCTAAGGAAGGTTAATACCTTGAAAGAGGCATTTTTCTTTGATGTTGTGGAATAGTGGACATATGCAAATACAATGCACATTCAGAGGTTTTGTTCCTTCTCCCCCTTCTCCTTTTATTGTTCCGAAAGAACAAACCTTACAGTTGAAATGACACTGACAGGAATATTCAGAGTGAAAAGGCAGCAGTGCTCCAGTGGGTTCCTATCATATAATTACACAAGGCTTCCTGATTTCTGCAGTTTCACAGTTGCACTGAACCTGTCATTTAGGGAGGAAGCTGCAGATGCTTTTCTTTCACATACAAAAACCCTGTTGTTTCCTTGTGATCATCTCTTGCTTACTTTTCCATCTCTTTCTCTCTCTGTAGAAGCTGTTTCCAGCAGGCTTGTTACTGCAGAGACTGATCAGATTCTCAGAGACAAAAAATCCACGGGACAAAACCAATATAAGACTTTTTTTTTTCAGCTAAGTGTCAGAGAAATGTAAATAAGTAGATTCCGTCAATATGTAGGGTCATGTGAAAGCTCATTAGGTTGGGAAGATTTAAGGGGACAAGGTCGAGACAGTAAAGGTAAAAATAAGGTTCAATGTGATTCGTATGGTATAGTTGCTCAGCAATCTGTTATCACATGAATTTGTGAAGAATCAGGTCAGGGGTTTAACAGCAATATCAACTGTTTTGCTGATGATCCCAAGCACAGGGAGTCACTTGTACTTACATCTGGCTTACAAGATTGCTGTCAGAATCATTTGTTCTCTTACATGGAAAGCCCTGAACCCCACAGAATTTAATACCGTATATCCTAAAGATACTAACAAGTTGGGAAGGGGAGTTTGGCAAGCTGTCAGACCCAACTGGCCATTCCACCTCCTACTGTGTTTTGATTTTCCTTGATGATTACACAAACGATCAGTAAAATGAAATGGATTCAATCCTTTAGTAACTCCTGTTGCTTTGGGGTGCATGGTGTTATTACTACAATCTCTTACACAGGCATTTTTACAGAATAGAAATAGAACCTGATTCACATAAATGAATACTTTAATATTTTGTTTCATTTCACTGTACCCTTATTTGTGAGAGCTTTATTATGGCTCTTATTTTCAACTACTAATTTATTTCATACAGAAGTACTGTTCCTTTATCTCATTAAAAAATTGGTAGTTCATCATCCTTGTTTTGGGTCAGGGCCTCAGGAATGCTGGATAAGCTACAGATAGTTTTACAAGGTGGCCAGTAGTGTGCCTGGCAGCACAGCTTCTGTGTCCAAGAACCAAATTGCTGATTTTGCTCTGAGTCCAAAGTATCTTTATCCAAACCACAGAAAAAGTCAAAGTACACCAAAGAGATACATTTTCAGACTAAAAAACCACAAATAAATAAATAAATTAGACTGATAAATGGTCTGAACAGTTCACTTTTCTCTATTTTGTGACCTTTTCTCAGTATAGTGATTTTTAAAAAAAATAACAAATGTATCATTAACATTTCCTGTATCTTTTGACTATACTGTTGTGATTTCAGGTACTAACACATTATAGTTGCAAGTTATCCTATTCACTCTGAATTCCTGTTGTACTGAACCAGGATAATCAAGAACTGCAGACTGTTCTGCAGATATTGTTCAGTCCACAATGTCAGAGAAGGAGCTCAAGGCAAGAGATGCACATTTCAGAGAGTAGACAAATAGACATGGGTGCTGTAGCAGGTGTGCTAGATAAGTTTGCATGTGTCTCCAGTCACCCAGGATCAGTAATAACCTGTGGCAGAAAAAAGGTACAGGAATGGCTGAGCAAAGGTAAGGAGTGCCTCAAGAAGTTAAACTGGCCAGAGCTCTTCCGTGTTGTAAAGAAAATGACTGAGTAAAAATGATTGAGATATATGGAATCATGAACAGTACTATCTTGATAAAAGGAAAGCTGCTATTTACTATTACTCCTAACACAGCTACTAGAATACCAAAATGAAATCACTAAGCAATAAGCTTGAAGGAGAAAGTATATTTTCACACTACATGTAATTAAACTGTGGAACTGTTATGAAGCTGGAACTGTAAACAGATTCATTTAATTTATTCAATGAGAATTTTTTTTCATGAAGAAACTAAAATCCATGCATGACCATTAATACTGAAATACGCATAGAAATTCTGAATTAGGAAGTTCCCAGTCCTCAGATTACTAGAAACTGGGAGCATGCCCCTTGTCCCATCCCATCCCTGCCCTGTGTTTCTCCTGACATACACTACTGTGCACTGTCAGAAATAGCTGCCTCAACTCATGGTATGATGCACCAGGCTACAGAGAGCTGTATGGCATCTGCACTGTCACATCGTGCCTCAGTGCTCCAGTTCACCAAGAAAAGATCTCCCCAGCTGTGCTTGGATTTTGCTGGCCATCTGTTTCCACCTGACAACCTGGGAATGATTTTTACCACAGTGAGAAAGGTAATTCCTGTGTTATCAGCCGCATTTTTGATGCTGAACAGATCCTGAGGCTGACCCCAGCCCTAAACCAGATTAGTACTTAAATCCATGAATCTGGACTTCCTAATCCAGGAGTAGTTTGTTGTTGTTAAATTTAAAACACAAATCCTGCTTCTTTGTCTCTGTTCTACCATGTACAGAGATGGGTTAAAGTTTTTTTTTCCAACCAATTTTACTAGTACTAAGGAAATACTGATGGATCATTACTTTCAGGGCTTGTGCTGTAACCTGCTTTTAACTTAGGTACGTTTGCTCTACTTTTCTAGCATAGTGGCTAATTTTAATGAGATTGCCTATTTTTGACAACAGTTCAGCTGCTTCATTCTTAAACACTTTCTGAATCTTAGATATATACCATCTGGTCTTAAAGACTTGTTACTCTTTCACTTATCTGTTTCCTTCAGCGTCTGTTCTTCTGACACCTCAGTTTCTCAAAGAGCTTCAGTTTTATTACCTGAAAGTACTGACACAGTATGGCTGTATGTGCAGCGAGCTACCTAATGTATCAGGCCAGCCTATATAAGCTAACAACTACTTAGTTAGTATTCAAAACCAGGATAGAAACCTAAACAAATCAGCACCAGCCAGTACTTGTTCACTTGCAATCTCTTGCAAATTCAGAATTTTGAAGCAATTCTACACGAAAAAGGCTGGTTTTGGTTTTGTTTTTAACGTCTGAATTCCCTCAGTAACATGCCCCAAAAGATGTAAGAAACATATACCTTTGCATGTAAGTGGAACTAAAAGGGTCAAACCTTTTAGTTAATACAATATTATTACAAACATATTTACATTGACCTGTAGCTGCTGTAATTGGTTTCTCTATGCCAGTGACCTTTTCCTTCTTACTCAAGTCCTGACTTGCAAAAGGCAAGATAACACAACAGATTCTTCAGAAGACTTTAAAGGATGCTGGAAGATTTTTGTCCCTTCCCAAAGAAAATGTGATGCAGATTTAGATATCTTTGTACTTCATAATGAAACACTGAAGACCTGGAGAAACTGTATTACAACAGAAGTGTATGGTGTTTGAAAACACAAAAGCTCTTAAAAATTGTGTTTAAAACATTTCCTAGAAGAAAATGAAATAGATCTTTTTACAGATATTTCCTTTGAGTATCAGCTAATGTTAGAAAAAATACTTATTTCAATTAATGAAGACACACAGCTGTAAGATTATGAAAAGATATTTTCTGGTACCCTACTAGTAGGAATAGAATAAAAAAAATGATATACAAGATGGCTACCAATTTCTTAAAAAACACATTTATTTGACCTGCACGTTTTCTTTTCATATTGTTCATTATTCCAGGTGCCTGATCTTCCACACAACCAAAACACAGGAGACACGAAGGACGTGAACGTAAAATACCATAAGGACCTTTGTTAAACAAAGGCTTTTTAATTTTTCACCAGACAGAAATGCACATCATCATCTATAAGCAAACCTGAATCCCTTCAGTGGATTTATGAACTGCTGTGTTATACAGCAGTAATAAAGCAGGTAAGATGCCCCTTTTATCCCCAGTGATGTGCTGTGTCAAGATTAGTCAAAATTATAGAAAAAAATACACAGTTCTCCTGTGTACTCCAGCTTAATTCCCACATGTTCATATGAATTTTTATAAATGTATTCACTTCATAAATTCATGTGTACCACAGAGTCACCTTATTGGATAGAGGATCTTACTCTTCTCCATTTTGAAAAATTTTCATAAAGACAATATTTAAGTGGCTTATCTCCACAGATTTTGGTATGACTATAACCTTCTCTGACTGCACCTACTCTAAAAGCTTTGATCCTAATGTTGACTCAAGTCAACTGAGTATAAATGGCAAATGTTAAGCAAGAGGAAAACACTTTCTGGAAAATGTTTTTCAATTTTCCTTCAAATTATTTCCCTGATGCATTAAAACTGATTTTTTTATTTGTATAATTTAATGCAGCTCCCAATTTTCTATACTTTTCCAAGTTCTGTACATACTAGGGATTGTTAAACAGCAAAGTAACACAGATAACACTGAAGTTAGGTGAATGGATATTCATATGAGGCTTCAGTGCAGGATTTAGATCATAAGTATTCATCTCTCATCTATACAATGATGTAAATCTACTGTTAGTTTTTTAATAAATTATTTGTTCCCCTTTTAAAAATACCGGACCCATCATCTTCTCCTCCATTTTTTTTATAAACAGAACCTGGGCATTAAATAAATAAATGAAAATTGGACAGTATAAGCCTGAGGATACAATGTTGCAGTACTGAAGAAGCCAAGAAAAACTCTTATTGACTTCAACAAGCTCTAGATCTGACCTTTGGCCTATACTATGCAAGTAAGTACATATAAATTATACAATCAGTACAGTGTCTGTCATAATTACATTTATGCTATCAGTTTGAGTTACTGAACAAATATGGGAACAGATTGTATGCAAAAGCCCCAGGCTCATCTTACTCCATCCACAGTGAGAATTTTGCCTGAATATGATACCTGGGCTCAAAACTAATATTGCTAACTCTAATTCCATGTTGCATTAGTGTTCTTTTTGAAGCTTCAGGTACTCTAAGAAGTCGGTTATAAAATACTTCTCTGTAACATAACATGCTTCTCCCTATCGTGGGCTCCCCGAAAGCCTTCAATATGGAAATGAGGCACTTAAAAGGCAAACAGTGCATCCACGGTGTGCCAGAGATTTTGTTTCTTCCTTTTTTGTTGTTGTTGTTGTTTTTGTCTGGTTTGGAAGCCATCCTGAGAGCTTTCCTAGAGACAATGCCAATTTTCAGTTTTCAGATATGCCTTATGACAGTAAAGCCATGGTGATACCAGAAGAAGGGGATTCACAGAAATAATGCGATTTTATATCATTACCAGTGTCTTTCAATGAAAATAACATCACTACTAGTGGTAACTGATATCAGAAACCAAGCTTTTTGAGTATGTAAGATATTTTTGTTATCTCTTACAAAAATACAGGCTTTGCCTGTTTATTACAAAGTCTGTTTCTAAATTGTTTCTAACAAAATCACTGTGTAAATAAAAACACCTCTTAAAATTGACTGGTCTATAACAGGAATATGTATTCATTTTTCTTCTTTTAATTGCCATCAGTTTCAAAAATAACAAATGCCTCTCACATCTCTATTCTTACCCACCTTACAGAAGTGACAACCTCTGAAACTGCCAACGTGGTTGCATTATGGGAAGGTATATGTGTAATTTTGCATAGGAGGAAAAAATATTAAGCTCCGCGACACATTTTGTGTAAGCTTTTCAAATATAGTAAGCTGAAAACAAAATCTGAGCCCTTGACCTGTTGAGTGCTAACAAAATTCCATCTGGTCACTTAGGAGCTGTGCCAGCATTACCACACAAAGAGCCTTTGAGCCATTTGAATGTTCAAGAGTCATTTGACAGCTTTTTTATTTACCCTCTTTTTTTTTTTTTGTCAGATACACACCTAATAACATATTACAGATGGCTAGGTTCTAACAAGTTTACTTGCATGTAAGCTTGAAACTACCCTTGAAAGTAAACTGCTGAGTTTTTGCTTTGGGCTGTTGCTTGGGTTTGTGTATTTTTTCTAACATTTAGGATTGTTCAGTCTGCTGCTGCTCCGATTTCCTTTTTAGGCAGAACAAAAGTGAAAGTGAAGACCTGGTACATGGCTGTTCTAAAAATGTGAACATAATTAGACTGCTCAGCCTGCTCGAGGCCAATGGAATGGGAGTATGTAGTAAAAATGTCACAGTAGGCAGCAGGTTAAACAAATGTCTGTCCTGTGACAGATATCTTCATGGGGGAAACAAATCTCACTCTGAAGCGAGAGAGATTTCAGCAACAGATGAGTACTGCACTCAGTATGCATTAAGTGCATATCTTTTAGTGCCAAAATCGGTTATTGATTTATTCCTTCATCACTGTGCTAAAATATGGGTATTTAATAGTGAAAAATAAATTATGCATTAAAATCTATATTCAAATCTATGTTGGAAAAACAAATTTGGCTTGAGAGAAAAAAAAAAAAAAAACTTAAATAGAAATGTTGAGCCACCTGATCTAGCTTCAGAATTAGCACTGCTTGACCTCCCCTGTCCCTAGTGACCTGCTTTTCCATGTGATGTTCTGAGTCCAACCAATACGGTTGTATGCACCACCCATACACAAAACTGAGCTGCCTGGCCTGGTATACAGACTTCAACACAGAAGAGCTAGTAAAATAATCATAGCAATAGCTGAATCATAGAATCATAGAATGGCCTGGGTTGAAAAGAACCTCAAAAATCATCTAGATTCAACCCCCTTGCCATGGGCAGTTGCCAACCGATACAGCAGTCTGCCCAGAGCCACATCCTGCCTGGCTTTTAATACAGCCAGGTACTGGGCATCCACAACCTTCCTGGGCAACCTGTTCCAGTGGGTGGTTGAGGAGGACTCAAAATTGCAAGACTGGCAGATGTAATCCCGGCCATCCACTTGAGAGCAACATCCAGTCAAGAGACAAGTAAAGTAATACTCAGTGCTCCCCTAGACTCTGGTCTGGGATTTGAGAAATACAGTGAGAAAATAAAACAGCCCAAGAAGTGGTAAAACAGTGACTAATCTAGGAAATGCTCTGAGGCTTTAAGGAAACGCTATTAGAGACTGAGTGGAGACATAATGATCTTTCTACATGTTCTGTATTTATTCAGCGCTACATTTTTAGAGATACCTTCACATCTTAAACTGAAGTAGTTGTTGAAAATTAACAACGTAATCTGCTTTGGTACTCATAGTCAGAGATCTTAAATTTTAATCTATTAATACCTTTGCTTTGTTTTGCTATAGTACTTTTGCATGTGATTACTGGATACAGAGGGTACTAGCCTACAAGTACTCACCATCCTAGAAGAAAGTTTGGATCCTGAGCATTTTTCTAAAAAGTAAGTCCTTTAAAAATTCTTAAAATACATAGATTTGTATTTTGCAGTCATTTTCCAGGCTAAAAAGTTGTATTATATGCTGGATTTTCAAGCTGCGCGTTAAATTCAAGATTGATCAGAGTATTTCAGCAAAGCATGTTCCCTTACTTCAGCTATTGATCTGAGCTTCTCCTTGGCACTTGCTATCATGATGTCTGTGCTGCTCTCTTTGCATGTTAGCTCCATGAAAAATCTCTGATGCCTGACACAGAACCAGAAAATGGAAACTGAAAGACTGAGGGTTCACAGAGAGTGCTTTAGCCGAACCTCAACAAGGAGAGTAAATACTTAGCCTGGTGAAGTTATAGAGGCCACTTTGTATCCTGTTCTTTTACACTTTCTGTAAATATGTAATACATATATTTCACCGGTAAAATAAAGCATAAACAAGTAGATAATGTCAGAAATGAGATTAAACTGCTTCTAAAATAAAAGATAATAAGGCATTGCACTGTGCAGCTCCGCTCCTGTAAGCTCCTGTAAGTTTTTCTAAAAACTGACCTACTTGTACTATTCTTTGACAGTATGTTAGAAAGATGCAGGTTGCAAATTGAATAGGTGACTTTAAAGACCTCTATTTACAAATGTCTTACAGTTCAAAAGTGCTTGTCTGTATTTTCCTATTAAGTTACTCTTGGTAAAACATTTTTGGCCCAAGAAAAGAATGGACATAAGAATAGCCTTTCCTCTTAAAAACCCAATTGTTAAAACTTACAATTCAAAAATTTCTTTTAACCACAGAAGGGGCTGATAAAATGTGATAGTTTCCTCATGCTTCAGAGAAAAAGGATCTTAATATTTTCTAAAGTTAATGAAGAATACAAAGGAAAACAAGTCAGTCCTGGAATGTGCTGGTAATTGGCCGGTGAGATGGTGTGATGCCATTAGTGGTGTGATGCAATTCAGTGGTTTAGCACAAATTACTGGCTAAGGTGGCCCCAAATAAACAATAAGTACTTGCAGGCAGACTGTGGTGCCCACATATTGCAAATTGAAGACTGGAGCCCTGAGTCATTTATAACTGGCTTTCGAATGTTTAGAATTCGATCACTCATCAAGAAGCTTTTAGGGCCAAAATGTACTCCAAAGTTTGTTTTTAAAGGTATCACATATCACCTTAAATCTGGTGTGACCAAGATTAATAGGCATCTGTGGTTAATCCCACTAGCTATAAATATTTACCTATTAATGCAGTCATTTGTTCTCACTCAGGAATGCAGAGGATATACAGCATCAATAAAGCACTGCACTGATGGGATCAGCTCAGATACTCTCTAGAGGAAAAGGATTCAACCGAGTTTTCACGTAAGGCTGACACAAACCTGGAGATGAATCAGATGGCAAAATTAAAACAGTGAGCAAAATGCTTAATATAGAGGATTTAAAAGAAATATTTCCACAAACCCCACAAGTTTTCTGCATGATTACTGCAGCTATAAGTGATTGTTAACCTTTGCACAGCATTTAAGAGCTTTATTTAGTGAAAACTATACAACAGTGACAGAGCAGTAAACACGATACTGATGTTCTGAGGCTGCACACTAAGGCACGTATACACAGCTGGGTAAATCATCATCCAAATTTTATAAGCCTCAAGGATTATTTCAAACAATTACATTGAACGTTTGAATGAATGAGAGGATGCACTATGTATCCTCTGAAAATATGGTTTTGGAGTAAGACAGTCTGACAGGGCAAATCAGGAAAAATAAATCTCTGAAAGAAAAGGCTACTTCATACGTTTTAAATCTTATGTCTCTTAATTAAGTTATTAACTCTCCATTCTGCAACCTGTATTCAGCCAATATCCCAAAAAGAAGTGAAATGCTCATAAGACACATCTGTAAGAAGTTCAATTAAAAAAAAAAAAAAAGGCAACCAAGATTTTTTTTTTCCTCCAAAGAAATATATTTTTAAAAGACAAAAGATATCTGCAAAATGCCTCTTCTTATCTTAAATTGAAAGTAATTTGTTGCCTCTGCAAGCAGGATCTGAGTGTATTGCAGAGAAGTGCAGTAGTGCTGTGTTTCACTGCATAATAACCATCCCTTAGACTAAGTAAGGAGCCACTGACAGCAGCTGGAAGGAAGCAGGCTCTCTGTGCAATCTGCAGGCCTCAGGAAGGAAGGGCAGAGCTTGAAGAGATAAAAACCACCAACAGGTCCTTGGTATGTGTTTCACAAGGGATGCAAAGTTCTTTGGCAATTAGATATATAAAATTATAGAATGGCTTGGGTTGTAAGGGACCTCAAAGATCACCTAGTTCCAATCCCCCTGCTGCAGACAGGGTTGCCAGCTACTAGATCATACTGCCAAGTATCACATCCAACCTGGCCTTGAATGCCTCCAGAGATGGGGCATCCACAACTTTTCTGGGCAGCCTGTGCCAGTGCCACACAGCTGCAAAGACCGTGGCCCCCAAATGAAGAACATCCACTATTGCTCCAAAGATATCTATTCCTCTGATGACCAAGCAGATCTTGACCAACCCTTAAATCGCAGGGGGAAAAGAATAAAATTAAATGTATAGACAGAAAAGACTCTAGGAAGCCTACTTCCAATGGTCCTATTCACTTGTCACCAAATTCTAAAGAAATTTAACCATCAGCCCAAATCCACAATTCTTCTCATCCTCTCAGGTAGCTCCTGAGAGCTCTCTCAGGTAGCCAAATCCATGCATTAGCCTGATAGAGATCTCTAAGAAGTGTGTCCTCTTGGCCCCATGCCACAATGTGCCCCTAGTGAAAATACTAGCATTCCACAGAAAGTAAATGACAATAAAATGAAAGTGCATTTTACACATTAACATAAACACTAAAATAAACCAAATTCAGTCTCATCCCCTGCATGCAATTTCACAGAAGCATACCAAGGATCTTGTTTCATGGCAGAGCTCTGGATTCAGGAAGAGAAAAGAACTGGACTACTCTCCTTTTTTTCTTCTTTTTTCTTCTTCCATATATGTGTGAAGCAAAAGACTACTGAAGTTTGCAGCCCATCTCAAGGAAGGAGAGGGAAGTAATGCCTCTTCCTTCATTCACATTTGAAAAGGAGGAGTAAGAAAGGCTCAGACTTTCACTGAAAAGATGCAGGTACCCATCTCCCAAATAACTCCATGCCCTTGGCCTGAGGTGGAAATTATGCTGAATAGAACAGAGGTATGCACGTTAGTTATGAATGTCTTCCTGCTGAGCTTGGTAGTTGATCCTACTCTAAACTCTGCAGGCACTGTTTAGAGAGCCAAAACAGCTGCCTCGGATTTCTGAATGCCATACTGGGAACTAGCACCTAAAATCCATAGCATATGCAGTCCATCCCTAACCACGAGTCTACACAAAAATTCCACTGCCATATTTCCCAATATCCATATTATTTTATGCCACTTTCAAAGAACACTTCAGATCACTGCATCCCTGTTAAATGCAGCTGTACTGTTAAGACAGTTGTACAGTCAGTAAACTACTCAAAACAGACACTTAGAGGATTGAGCTACTGATGGACTGCCAATCTTTTTACCATTCTGGCTGAAATACAGTTCTAGTTCAGAAGGCAAAGAAACAGAGAACAGAAGTCAAAACCCAGCAAGACTGAGAGGCAGAGGTGATTTCCTGACCAGTCGCTGCATGTCACAGCCATATCTGCATAACTCAGTGCACTGGGAAGTTACTTACACGCTGCCTGGCAGTCAAGAGACACATAGGAAGCTTTGCAACAGTAAGTCAGATGTCTGAACAACTCTAACAATGTGCCTTAGCCCCTCCTCCTGGAGGCATCTTGCAGCAACATCGAGGACCTTCACAGTCTTCTCTATAGCATATGTTTACAGTGTTTGTATGGAGGGAATTCTGCTCGGTCAGCGTATAGAACTCCCACAGATGCCAGCCACTGCTGCAACAGTGCAAAGAGATGACAGCTGAGGAAACAATCTCTCCTATTACATTCTTCAATTGTGTTTTTTTGTTTGTTTGTTTGTTTGTTTGTTTGTTCTTTTTTGTGTTGGCTTGAAAGTAGAAGAAAGGAAAAGTGGAGAAAAGAATATTTCAGAAGTGGTCACATTATATGGGAAAGCTTACAGACACAGTTCATGGAGTAATGTGCAGATTTGCACATGTGCCAAAAGCTACTGTCATTTTTAACCACCACTGACATGCTGACGTCTTAATGAAATGAGAGGAAAAGACCAGGATGCTTCTGTATCAGCAGGCATAAATCAGTGATGCATTGTTGGTAGCCATACTTCATTTACTTCCAGAAGCTGCTTATAATAAAAAAAACCATATATATTATCAGTTTTAATATTCTTTCTCTCCATTTCACTAATACCCAAAAGCCTCATATAGAAAGTTACTGTGGTAATATTAATTAATACAGCCAGCAATTGATCATTAAAGCAATACTTATCAGGAAAATTGCTAATGTTTCAGCTACAGGATAAAGAGATTTTTTCTTCTTTCTCCATTCCCACTTGAATAGGGGCGTAAAGCGTTGTAGTTTGATGGCTGCTGGTAATTTTAAATCTCCTGTATATACAGCACATAACTTGGCACACATAGCTCCTTCTATGTCTCATCTAGGTGGTTGGCCTTCTCAGACTGAGCACACCCCTATTCTTTGTCAGCACTTCCGATCTGTAATCTTAGTTTGAATGCTGCAAGGAAAAGCTTACATGAAGACCCAGAAAGAGAGAATTAATAAACTCTACCAGCACTGAAGAATCTACACCATCCCAGGAAAAGCAAGCCCTGTGCACTGCCACCCTTTTATAGTGAAGTATGTCTTCCCTGTGTGTAGAATGCACTGTGATAATACCTTAAAACAGTGCAGTCTATGCCCCACTAGAGAAGTATTAAATGCCACTGTCAAAATGAATTATTCCCTCATCTAGATGAGCAAAAGCTGTGGTCATCCTATTCAGGTCTACATTGTGCTATAGAGGAATAAAAATAGTGATAGATGCTAACAGGTAACACTGCTAGTGTAGACTCATCTATCCTGAAAAAGCCTTCTTTTGTTCCAGCTTGATAAAAAAATATTATCTAAGCTTAACACAAAACAAAACTACAGGTAAAAAGGCAAAATGTGTTGGGTAAATTAACCTAAAGTAGGAAGGGGCGTAAGTGAAGAAGACTCTACAGTTAAGTATGGGCCAGGATTTGTGCTATGACTAAACTGGAAGATCAGGAGACCTTCAAAGTGCATGTTCTGATTTATCATATTCCATGTGAAAGAAACTCAAGTTATGTGCTCTGCCCTGATTAGCTGGAAAGAAAAGTGGACATGTAGGCAAGATGGGAGCTGTGGCATGCTTAGTAGGGCTCTCAGTAGGATGACTGGAGATCTGGACCCAATGGTTTCCCATGAATTGCTACTGCAAGTCATTCTCTCTGCACTTCTCACCAGTTAAGTAAGTAAAGTAGAAAAGAAAAAGCTGACATCTCATTTAGGCTACACTGAGAATCCATATTTCATCATTAGTGTTATTCTGCAGACTTCAGTCAGTTGGGTGTCTACAAATCAAGGTTTGTCATCCTCTACTCACTTGAATTAAGTGATTACCAATAATTCATGTTCACTTGCAACTACAGATGCTAGTCTAACAAATACTCTCAAACATTTTTTCAAGTATGTAATCATTTTTCTGCTATTCTACAGTCACAAATAAGAAGTGTTTATCATTGCCTTACTTTATAGCGTAAAAAAATTGAATGGGAGTCTACACAGCTCTTTTTGGGCTGGACAAATTGCAGATTTTAAGTTTGGGGGTTTTTTTTTGTTTGAAAACATTATAGCATGAAGGTAAACACGCATTTGAACAGTGTTAATCTTTTGCAGACAATGCTATATCGAGGGATCAGCTGACACAACAAATAGCAATCCAGAGGCACCTTCAGAAACTTGGGAATTGGATGGCCAGAAGTCTTCTTCAGCAAGTGTAAGGACCAAGATTTGTAGTTAAGACTGAACAATCCCACACACTGGGAAAGACTGGGAGCTGACTGGCTGAGGACCAGCCCTGCTGAAAACACCCAGGAGATTACAGTGGAGGCCAATTAAAACATGAGCCAGCGGCATGTTCTCAATGCAAATAAATCAAACAGCATTATGGCTATATTAGGAGTGTGGCCAGCAGATCAAGTCTCTGCTTGATGCCTGGTGAGAACTTGCACATCCCCAAATTCTTAACCTGGCTCTGGATGTCCCAGGTTGACACTGAGAAACTGGAGAAAGGACAGGGCTCCAAAGATGAGCCTGTCCCCAGAGCATGTGATGTGCAAAAGTGAGGCTGGGGGATGAGGTCTTCCTCATTCTGCTGAAGAGAAGGATGAAAAGTGACTGAATAGTGGCCCTGCAGCTACCTAAAGTGAAGACACAAAGTTTATGGAGGCTTCAAGATGTAACTACATAAAATCACAGTTGACCCGGTTATAGCACTGGCCTTCTTCAAAATCCTTACAACCTTTATTCAAAATCCTTCCAAATGACAAGTTTTGTTTTCCTTCTACAAGACTGTGAATCTGTTCATATTTCAGCTCCAACACTTCCACTGTTTCTACTACAGGCTTCCTAACAGAGCATCCAAGTAGGACATCCTTATTATAGGTAAGTCTGTTTTGCTGTGTGACAGAACTGTTAACTGCTTCATCTTGCTATAAATTAGCAGAGTGCAGACTGGAAAAATCTTGATCTGACTATTCCTGCTGTCTAACTCTTAGGTAACAGATCTTTTCCTCTTCTTTTTAAACAGACAGGCACCCTTTTTTTCTACAGTGTTGGCCTCAGTCATGGATAAGAGAGTATATGTATGTATAAAATATACATACATTTTATATGTATGTATGTATAAAATTATTTCCTTTCTCTTAACAGCATATTGTTATGCGTTATTATGAAATTCTTGTCTTGCATTTACTCAGCACTGTATGTATATTTTGTGCTGCCTCAGTTCCTACGTATGAGGAGACTGACGGTACAACTATAAAATATCACGGAGGTAGGTCCTACCATTGGAAAAAATACAACGTGTAGAATATGAGTGTATAATAAATGGCCTTGATTAAGTCCTTCATATTATTCCAGAAGGATCTGAGCACAACACTGATGAATGGACCAGGTAGACTTCTTTTCATTGTCCTCTTTGTTTGTAAATACAGAAAAAAATAGACAGAATGAGTCTTATTTATTTTAGCAAGATTTGAATTCTTGGAAAAAAAGATATATATATATTTCTATAACTTAAAATGTGAAAAACAATTTAGAATGTGGCTGTTTAAAAAAAAAAAAGCAAAATCTGTGAGGAGTTATACATGAGTATACATGACACAAATACACAAAGGGAACATGCCTACTACAGTGGCAATTCTGTGGACTGTTTATAATGAAATAATTATGAAAATGCCCATAAGCCTTAATTCTTGAGGTAACTAAAGAGTTGTGGATGCACACAGACCTTCAGGCCTGACAATTCTGCTATTAATTCTAACAATCATTATGGCATTTGTACATTGATACCTCTCTTAATGATACATTGCCACACTGAAAAATACATTCTGGGAGCAAACTTTGTCATAAGTATTGAATCAATATCTCTTTTGAACACTATATATTTCATTTCTTAGGCTATTTGTTTGCCTTCGTACTTCAGAGTTGATGATAGAACTCAACTAAGCAGTTGTCACTTATTTCCTGTGTCCCTATGTGGGTCAAAAGCAGCCTTCTACAATCCGTTCACTTGTAAGTCTTGCATGGGAATCTGTTTTAATGAATTAGTGTTTATAAATCCCTCTGAAGAGGAATCTTTTAATGCTAGAGCCCAGGACTGTTAATTTCACCCATGGCCAGTGCATCTACCTTTTCCCTCAAATGAATGGGAGGTCAGATTTCTTCAGACCTGTGTCTGATCCCATGATGCACAGCCTTCTGAGAATGCAACTCCTAATTCTCTGGTGCCACAAATTCTTCAGCACACTGAACATCTGCAGCTTTTTTTGGCTTCCACAGTTGTGAGTCATGGCAGCCCCCAAAACTCTGTGCAGACCTTTAACCACTAATTCTACTGAACCAGGACAAGAATCTAAAAACAAGACTTCTTCAAGGCATCTCAGATATGAAGGCGCTATGGACATCATTTTATTACCCATCACTTTATTGCCCATTATCCTATGGTCGTTTATGCTCAAGTAGGACACAAAAGCTACATTTTAGGCCCAGTTACCATTTAAATCAAATTTGCAGCAACTTTATGCATAATACAGGGTAATGGAACTGAGGCCATAATCTGACTACACAGAGGCTTCGACAGCAAAGCTTGTTTCAACGGATTACCTTTTCTAAATGCTCTGCAACCAGGTCAGTTAAAGCACTGCAAGGCAATGCCATTTGAATCTACAACATGCACTTAAAAATGTTATTTGATAGTTTGCTGTATTACGTTTAAAGATGCTATGTCTCAGCACAGGAAAAAACAAGCTTTATTTTCATTAAATTAATGCAATTTTAGAAGTTCTGCATTGAACATGCAGACCTTTCACATCAGAGCAACCAGACTTCTTTGCCTGATGGCTTTACATTACCTGTAGGTTGTATTAGATGAAGCAGCAGAAGCATCTCTAATGAAAAGATTCAAATGATATGCTGACTTTGGGGACAAATTAGTTCCATAGGTACAGAGTGGAATAATACTAAACTGACATAAATAAGCAGAATTTGCCTTCTATACTTGGACTTGCATCCTTAAGATATTAAAAATGAACACTGAAGTTCAACACATGCTTTGTGATCAAAGAGTAAGAGTGGTACAAGAGTGGTACAAAAGTGGTACTGTTATATGAATACAATAATCACCTATTCTGAATGTTCTCTGCAAGTCCAACCACCAAATGTTTAAACAAAAATTGCTGCTGTATTTTCATTCTGAACTGTTGGCCAAAATCAGAAGGGGCCTCTTTTGACACAGTGGCTGCTTTTGCAAGAAGGAGTCTGGGGAGAAATAATGAGGAAATATCAGGAGGGAGCTTGCAAGATTTCCCAAATTTTCAATTTTGATATCTGATATTTGATCTAAAAGTTAAATCTCTGCAACCCCAAATGCAGTCCAAACTTAATCTGCATCCAGGCTCCTCAGCGTATTTCTGATTGTAAGAAATGTATTTCCGATAACAGTGAAAATAATAATAATAATAATAACAGTCTCATCCACTTATTTTTAAGATACAAAAAGGGTCCAACAGAAAAGGCTGTATCTCAGACAACCTGCCAAACTTCAGTCATTTTGTAAAATGTGCCTATTAATCAGCTTTCAGAAAAAGTTCTCTGTGTACAGCCAAAGTTCTGTTTTGTTGATGACCATTTCTGATTTTAGAAAAGCAAGCAGTTTAAAAGTTGCTGAAGTGTGCTGGCTTCTGACTGACACCTTGTTTGTTGTGATGCCTGAGTGCAGTGAACTGTTCAGAATCTGAGTATGCTAAAAGTAATCCAGAAGCTCACATCTGTTGCTTTTTATCACAAGAGCTATCTAGTATCAGAAAGACAACCTCATAAACGTTTTGAAAAAGAAAACTACAAGAAAAAGCAAAACAAAACAGGCCTCCCTTGCTAACATAAAGTGCTGTATTATCTAGGGCATTTTTTCCCCCAGTCATCTGTTTTGAACTGGGTACAGGCACAGAACTCAAATTTTACATTCACAGAAGAACTCTTTCAGAGACTGTACAAGAAATCTGAAATTCTACCTTATTCTTAACAGTCAGAAACAGAAACTGTGATGCCTTCACTCCCCTTGTAAAAGGAGAAGTTATAGCCTTCATAAAGATAAACAAGCACTTCAGATCATTTCTGGGATGACGATGCATTCTGAAGAAGTGCATTGAATTGTTTTTTGTTCCTCCTACAGCATTCTTGCCTGTGAAACAGTAAGTATCCACATTCTAATGTGGCATTAGAAGCATAATGTGTATAAGTCTTAGAGAGAGATTTCTAACATTTTCTGGGAATATCAGAAAATACCAAAAGACACTATCTAATGGCTGCAAAATGCATTTCTGAAACATATTTATTCTTTTTTCCTATGCTGCTACAAGATAGAACTTTTTGTATATTAATAGCTTATGACATCGTGCTTACGATCCCTTTTACAGGATGATGTTCTAATGTTATCTTCATGTTAAATTGGTTTCTTCTTTGAAATAACAAATTACTATAAGCTGTACGATTCCATCAGTTTTTAAGAAAAAAAGATTTCAACAGATCTTCTTTTTCAGCACAGAATATGGCTCTTCCATCATTTCTTCACGTTATAAACCAGCATAGTGCCGTACTTACCAATAAAAGACATTTGAACAGTGCTTCTCAAAATTAGCCCAATGTTTAATATTTCCATCCTCCCAACTGCATAAGTTGGAGAGCCAATATTTCTAAGTGTATTTCTATGGAACATGCTATTTTGCACAGTTTCACCCAGACCCTATAGTTTGAGGCCCATTATAGCTGAGTCAGAAAAGCAGGATCCTGGTGACTTCAGTGGTACTCAGTGTGGGCTTTGTGTGGGTACAAGAATGCTGTATAAATAGCATTTACATGAGTAGGGCCCAATCCTGGGCTGTTTCTTTCCTACAAGATACATTCTTTCATGCAGTCTTGCTCATTGTATGTTAGGCGAAACTAAAAACTGATTTTATATTAGTTTTAACTAGCAGATATTTACGAAAATAAAAACCAAAAACCTTCTGCTTTTGAAAATTAGAAAGTGGAACAGCAGTTTTTCGATTCTTTCTCTAACAAAGATAGTGGAATGGGTATGAAGGAAGAAGCTGTCAGATAATTAATAAGGACAGAACCAGAAGAAGAGAGAGTGGGAGATGGGAGGAAAGACAGAAAAGAACAGAGAACTGGAGGAGGCAAGAGGAGGAAGACGTTACAGAAAACTGGGCAATGAAATAAGGGGCTTAGCAAGGACTAAAGGAATAGAATGGCGGTGGAAGAGAGTGGGAAGAGTAAGAAATGATTCTTAGGTTAAAAAAAAAAAAAAAGAAATGACTTGAAGAAAATAAGGACATTACAGCATCAGTTACAGAAATGTAGTTTTTGCCTGGAAATTGCACAGCAGTTTGGGCACTGCTGCATGTAAACTTAATGATTAGTACCTCTGATTTAACTGAAGTACTTATCCTGCTGTAAACAGATGATGGAATTTGTACTGCAATTGTTTAAAACAACACCACCACTAAATAACTGAATTTCCTTGACTCCTGTCAGCCGTTCTTTATGGGTATATTGCATATCTTGCTCTCAAACTCCATAATTTCTCTTTTTTCATCCAAATTTCATGTGGCGGGAGCCAGTATGTCTGTATCACCCTCTAAGGAATTCCAGGAACAAAGACTCAACAGGTTTTGCAGGGTGAGATCAAATATGTTTGTATATAAAGCCTATTAAATGTATTTCTAAATTCATTTAATCATAGCAGATGTTTTTACAGTGAATGCCTTCATGGGCCAATTTTCTGTTGTAGTTTGCTTTCTTTTCCACCTCCCCCCCCTGCTGCCCCCAGTAAAACTATAGCCTGGCCCTAAAATTGATTCAGTGCATAAAGATAGGAGAGATGGGAGTGAAAGGAAGAAGCATCATGGCTACTTGTTACTTAAGAAAGAGGTGGGGGCAAGCGTGAAATATCCCCAGAACAACTCATTGCTTTGGTGCTCCTCCTGAGGATCATGTTAATTCCCTGAATTTCCTCTTAAAATTCTCAGAAAGTGTATGCCTGAAGAAGGGGTCACAACTTTGAAGATGCTATTTCTACATACACTAGGCTCAGAAGACTGACTTCAGTCAGTTCCTCCAGAGGCCCAGCAGGTATAAGTTAAACATTCTGTGGACAGGGAAAATTTGGATAAGAAAGATGTGTACACTCCTGCTTTGGTTTTAAAGCCTTTTTCTCTTTGCATGCTTTGTTCCTGCTGTCAAGATAAAACAGCATTTTGATTTAAGGAAATCGTTCCAGAGCCTTCATGCAGCACAGGGAGCTATTTGGCAGTGCTGAACTCAGTTTTGCCTGCAGTGCACTGGGTGTTGCAAATTGAGATCATCTTGGGTTTCTCAACAAAGAAAGGATACAGGCACGAACTCAGGGAAGGGAGCAGAAGTGCTACTAGCCCTGAAATAGTGACATGTACTTGTAAGGTTGCTTCTAAGGCTAGAAATGCTGGTTGTCATGTCATGAGACTGGTACAACACCAAAGACAGGAAACCTTTCTAAATATGCTCTCAAGAGCAGTTCCTGGCTGGCAGACAGCAGGCTGCACTCAGCACCGTGCTCACCTCAGCCAAACGCTCTGCTGAACCTGCAGACCACAGGCCTTGCAGCTGCTCCTCTTTCATGTCTGGTTGTATTTATGCTCAAGCAGGAAAAAATTTAAGTTTCCAGCTACAAAACACTGACACAGTGTTAATCCATACAATACAAAGCAGCTCTAGTTCCTAGTCTGGATACAGTTACGGGCAAATGGGAGTTTGTAACCTGCTATTTATGAGAGAGTTTTCTTTGCAGCCCCCCTCCTTCCTTTAAGATATGATGAGGGAAGTATTAATCCTTCCTTCATGTTACACATGGGGTTATTTTTAGACTGGGATATAGTAGAGAGAAAGGCATTCACTGAAAGGCGAAGAATTCCATGAGAAGAGGTTTTTAACTGTAGGTTTTGTGTCCCAATGCTCCCACGTTAATGTACCAGGAGAGCCGTAGAAACAGAGGAAGCTAATAGTGGGCACAGACTCCTATCAGCAAAGGTCTGTTGTTCCCTACAGCTTTCGGCAGCCCCAGCAAATTTCTCCAAAGCTCTGTTCAATCCTCATCATGCTGTACATCCTGCCATTAAGCTGATCTCTTCCATGAGCCTGGGCCTTCTAATTCAGTCTCCATCTCTCTCACTCACTTTTCTCTCTTTCCAGGCTTACTCCCCAGCATATTTGCAAAAGCGAAGGAGATAGGGCTGAAAGATAGGCTGCTTATTCACCACGTGACTTTGAACACCTGCTTAACTGCACTTAATCAGATATTGACACGGCTTGCCGAATCCAAATCAACTGACAGGAAATGTAAACAAAAAAATTAATGCAAAAATTAACAAACAAATCTGGCAAATTTCTTCCAAATGATCGTGACTGTCAGGCTGGCAAGTATCAGAGGCCAAAACCAACTGATGAATGTATGCAACTGTGATTAACTATAATGAATCTCACAGAGCTATCACTCACACAAGGAATTATTCGGTGTTTTAACAAAAGCTCAGAACTGACCCATGCCTCACATATTCCCATAATACATAATTAGAAAGCAGTAAGTTTTTTAAGAGATTTGAAATATGAGGAAAATAGCACTAAGTATTAAAAGGGATCAAGTAAAATATTTCCTTTCCAAAAGAGTGGGTTTTTCTCCTCATTTTTGAATGTGTGAATGTAATCTTCGTAGTAGGTTTGTCTAACCTAGAGATGCAAAGCTTGAAATGCCCTCATTTTATTCATTTTAGGTTGCAAATTTTAACACAATTTCATATAGACATCTACTTTTTCCTCTATTTAAACATGTTTTGAATTCCAGCTGCAACAGACACATACGCACAGATGTTTATTTCCTGATATATCTTTTCAAATTCTCCTACGAAATATCTGAAAGTGTTTCAAGTCAGGGATGTTTCTGAGACATGTATTTAAGCAAATAGTTAATGTGAACTGTGTCTTTATTTGCAGGTCTCAAAGAATCCTTCGCTAAACCCCATCCTCCACCTGAAAGTAAGTGAATGGCAGTTATTTGGTTTATAGATTTGCCAAATTCTACTGGGTGTCTGCTGAGCCTGTAATCTTCTTGAACTACAGCTTAAGAGTGGGCTGAGATCACCAGGGTTTCTGCACAACTTCAAAGCTCCCTAAAGCAGAACTGTGACTCTCAGACTGAACAAATGTCGCCAGGCTGTGTGCACAGCTTTGAAGCTCCTTGAACCAAAGCCATTTGTTTCGGAGAGTTTACAAATTCAGTTAGGCATATCTAGAGCACATGAAAATTCTAAAACGTATCAGCTATTTTTTGGAGTAAGTAGAACTTCAGTGATCAAAAATCTGTGGTGGTGTTGTTGTTGTTTTTACAATCATCTTACACTACCAAAACCAATTCCATCTGCTTGCTATCATTAAAATTTGTAAACAGAAACAAGTTTCTAGACCGTATTTAACAAGAAGAGGCCCTGTGAGATTATATGTAGCAGCTTCACTGCAAGGACAAAGTCCCTTCATAGGAAAAGTTCCTTGCCTAATTGACATTCAAACAGTCATTAAAAAATTTCACCAGTAGCTGGAGAAGGCACACGAGATTTTAATTTTCAGAAGTTTATATGTAGTTACTAATCAATTTTAATCTGGAAGTGAGATACTGTTTTAAACATAATGTGTACAACAGCGTAAAGACAGATGGAATATTTCTCGTTAACACAGAGACCTGGGTGGACTTGTCAGCAGGAGAAAGTGGGTTTTCTCTTATGTAAGTAATTAGGTCACCAATTACTGTCCGTAACACTCAACCTGAATCCTGCAACAGAGTTAAGGACCATACCCAACCTCCTGGTCAGGTGCCACAGATGGAACATCAGAGCCTTCTCTCATGTCAAATGGTGACAACATTATTCTGTCCTTTATTGAACAAATGTTAGTTTATGTTAATGACATATTTACTTATCTTTTACATATTCATAAATAATTAAGTTCTCAGAACTTCCAGAAATAGATCAGCTTTACTTGAGGAATGCTGAGAATTATAATGAATCTTCTCAAGGATTATCAGCTGCAGCCAAAATGAATTACAAAGAAAGGGTAAAAAAGCTCTGATTTTATCTATATCTTTAATACCCTGGCGATTGTATCAAATGGGGAGTTGGGAGTGGATCAGGAAGAGAGCTCCTAATTTCCTTCTGACATTTCTGTTTTCTGTTGTTCCGTTCATTCATTCCTTACCCCATCTTTCCTTTGCTTCTAGTACTTCTCTCCCTCCACACATTTCCTTTAAGGGATTTTTGTTCTTTCTATTCTTGTCTTGGTAGCTTCCTCATTTTCATTATCAGTGCTTTGTTTCCTTCAGTTTTCATCTGTTCTTTTGCCCTTTCTCTTCCCAGTTTTATTTTGACTACACAGCTACCACTGCATATTACATTCTTAAGAAACACACTTTTGAATCAAGCCTTTAACCTAAAGCAGGAGACAAAATTGATTGGCTTTCATCTTACGTAATAACAAAAGATCACAAACTTCGGCCTGAAAATAGGAACATTATTTGTTATGGTAGAGCAGTCAGAACTAATTTAACCTCTCTGGATGCTTCAGAGGGACACTCTGAGGAATGTTATTTGAGGAAGAAACAGAGCCATATCCTAAAATCAGTTTCTTCTGCCTTTGTGTTTTCAGGACAAGGTTTTTGCCAAATGCAGTCTTGTCTTTGGCTATAATACATCTCACTCATTCTGACTTAAACTGGTGTATTGATGCTGGGTACAACTAATATGCTAGCATTATACGAAGTCCCACTGTATTTGCAAAAGCTTTAAAATAATTAAAAATTAGCTTTTTGTGCAATAAATATATCACTTTTATAAGCAATCTATGAAGGTGACTCGCATCTCTTACAAGCAGAATTGTTTTCAAGGAGGACAACTTTTTCATTCCTCTCATATGTGAGGCTATTGATTACTCACAAAAACCACACAGGCTTATTCCCATTTTCCCAAAAGTGATACTGCACACAGCCATGCCTGAATATTCACTCCTTTCTGCCATCTTCACTGAGTGAACCAATATCATGAATACAGACAGTGGCTTGTGACATTCTGATCTGGAGTTCACAACTGCCAGGCTGGCCACAAAGCTTGACAACTGTGGTAATTCTGTATGGAAACTAGGAGCGGAAATACAGTGCCCTGGGAGGAGAGCGGCAACGTAAGCCTTTGTTCTGACAATTGTAACTAAATGCACAATAGCCATTTACATTATAGCCTGTGTATCTCCTGCATCTCATCACCATGATATTAGTGCTAGGTATTGCTAAGAGAATCTAAGAAGTTCCCCGACCTCCCTGTGCAACTGGCAGGTTGCTCTCATGGTTTGTTGCCCAGCTAAGCACTCAGGAACATGTTAAGCTTCATCAGAATAGAGGCCACCTTCCATTTCTTGCTAACACAACGGGTGCTTTGAAATGCAAGAATGGTCTTCATGAGCTCTCACTGCTACTGATCGTAACATCTCTATTTCAATCTGCAACTGATACATACCATAAAAATAACTTTGTGTGTAACCTGTATTTCTGTTCAGTATATGAACTCTCACGAATTATGTTTCTCCATCTTTTGGGGCCAGTGAATTAGTGTTGAGTGGTCAATGCATATCACTGATTTATCTTACAGATTCGTGTTTGTGGGATGACTGCTGCCTGAAAACAGTAAAACCTGCCTGGCCTCAAGGAGTTCATGACAGAGCATGCAGGTTGTGGTTTTGGAGGTTAAAAGATGAAAACTGACCAGAGAAAGGGGCTATTCATCAGGAAATGGAGGCATGACATCAGCAACTGAAAAGTAAAAATCTGAAATTGTTCTTATAAAAATAGAAGCATAGCACACGTCTCAAGTACTCAGTGTTTTGCTACTAGGAGCACTTCAGCAACTTGTCTCGCAAAGCTAAGAAATGAACGTTGTTGAAACTGTGCCATTCTGTGTACGTGACTTCAAAAACTACATAAGTACGAGCAACAAAAGTGACAATTTTGAGAAGAAGCCACAGTCCTCCAGGAGGAAATGACTGCCATGAGAATGACTTCAGAGGAATACACACTTGGGGCTGAAGTGGCAGCAGAGATTTCTATACAGCAAAGATAATGCAGATCCATATATACAAAAATATTTTTAGTGGCAGAAATCTTTTGACTGGCATTAAAATATACTTACTTGGCTTTCCATTTTATATCACCAGTATACAGATCAGCTAATACTAAGCCTGCATTTTTGAACACAGAATAGAGCTCACATTTAACTGTAAGGCATCACCGCACTCTGCTACAAATGCCTATTTGTTGAGCATGATTTATGGAATGTAGTGCAAGCCATAGGAAGAACAAATTAAACACTGCAGATATTCATTCTCACTTCAATTCTAAGGATTTGCAGCTGTTATGCGACACAGTACCCAAAAGAATGCTATAAGCAGAATGGGGGAAGCTATCGCATTGATTGTATGAGCTAGAACATAGATCTTGAACAGCAGAAGGCATAGTTAGCTGCTAGCCAAGGTGAAACTGATTTCAGTCTTTGCTCTTTGGAGCAACAAGAGCTACTGCAGAGGCTGTAGTTTGCCTGGATTCTTATTAAGGGCAAGTGGGCCAGGCCCCAATATGCGAAGGAGTGGGCACAAGTAACCTCTGATCAGTTACAGACGGGCAATGACAGATTCTAGAGAAAAATTCAGTCTTCCTGAAAACATTTTAATGACTCTTACTTATATAGCAAGCTGGAGCAGATTCTCAAGCTGTTTTCAAACTTGTCTGCAGCTGAGACGTAGTCTCATCTAAAACAGTGCTGCATTAATTCTGCATCAGCTTTTCTGAAGAGGTTTAGCTAACACTATGAAGTTTTTTTTTGGGGGGAGACAAAGTAGAATTGGTCACATCTGTACTTTGACCAGAACACTCAGATTACCAGCATGACTTTGAGAATAGAGAAGGAAATACATTCTCACTAAATCCTGGTATCTCCATGCACGAAAAGAGGCCTTTGCTACACTGTAAAGAGTTGGTCCTTATTCTGAGCAAACCTGACAGCTCTCCTCCATGCCTGACCCCTGGCAGCTTCCATCTGCAACTGTTCTCCAGGAGTTCTCCATCACTTTAAAGGAAGCAAACAAGTATCTATCCCATTCCACGACCAGGAAAACTGAGGCACTGCAAGTGCTTCTTCCTATGGAAACTTCTAGTCGAAAAGGAAAGATGTGCGTGATCTGCAAAAAGAAACTAAACAGTGCAGCACCTGAGGCTGCAGGAAGTGCTGATGTCAAAGCCCCGAACCGAAGTCAGGCCCCTTGCCCAATCTGCAAAGCACACATCCCCTCGCCCTGGGGATCCACGGCCCAGAGCACAGAGCCACACAGGCCGGCGGAGCCACCCCTGCCCCAGCGCCCACACTGCAGCCAGCTGTGCGGGGAACCTGATGGTGGCTGCTGGGCGCCGTACTGTGCGTGCAAAGAGGAGGAGGAGGTGGGGAAGCGAGGAGAAACCCAGAGAGCGCTCTGTGAAGGCAGTGAAACGCTGCGCTCCCTGGGTTCACACGGGATTCGCTGGAAGCTCCATCCAAGTGGCGACCGGTGCGAAACTACTTAATTTACAACATAAAGAGAGGGGGGGAAAAAAAAAAAAAAAAGGCAGAGGTAACATGGCTGCATTCGGAGGCACGAGTAACGCTCTTCCTCGCAGCCGGAGCGACACGAACATCCTTACGTCTTTCTCCAACAGCGGACAGGGACAGCAGCATAACCTTCCCAAAGCGTTACCCCGACCGCCTTCGTCACGCCGGCCGCGATCGGCGAGAGGTCCCGGGGCCGCCTTACGTAACTCCGTGCCCCGAGCCGCCCTCAGCACACGGACAGGCGGCTCCTCGCGCCCTCCGCGTGCGGATCGGGGCGGCCCGGCCTGCGCGGAGCCGAGCTGCCGCGGAAACTTTGCGCCGCGGAGACCGCGCGCTCCGAGCCCCGCAGCCGGCGGGGAAGTTGCACCGAGCTCGGGCGGCGGCCTCTGGGGGCGGAGGGGCGGCAGCGGGGGCTGCGCAGAGGGGACTCACCCATGGTGGTGGCGCCGCGGCGGCCTCCTCCTCCTCCTTCCCCTGCTCCCGGAGCCGCCGCCGCCGCCTCTCGGGGAGGCGCGGGAGAGGCGTGCGCGGAGCGGAGCGGGGCGAGCGCGGCAGCGGCGCGGAGGCTGCGTGCGGCTCGGCTATGAGTCAGGGTAGCACATCCGGGCAAGGCCGCCTGGGAGACACCCCACCCGCCCGGCGGCACCCTGCCGTGCCGCTGCCGCCGCCGGGGAGGGGCGGGCGGGCACGGAGAAGGCGGTGCGGGGCCGGCCCGGCCCGGCCGCGGGAGGGGCGGGGAAGGAGGGAGACGAGGGCGGTGCCGGCGGGGGTTGCGGCGGTCCCGCGCCGCCTTTGTTAGCGGGGCTGAGGGGTGGCGGTGTGGCGGTGTGGAGGATGGGGTTGTTGGCGAGGTCCTCGGGCTCTGGCGGCCTTTTGCGCGAAAGGAGGGCTGAGCCGGGGGGCGAGCGTTGTGAGATGGGCCCCGTGAGCTCAGATCAGCGGAGGAAGGGCAAATTGCCATTGCCTTAAGCCGTGCGTTTTGCTGAAGCGATGCTGGGAACTGCGCGGCCGAAAGCGAAAGGCTTCTGCCCGCGGTTGTTGTGTGCGGAGGACATTTTTAACAAGAAAATGAATCTCTGTATTCCCCCTTCCTCTCTGCCCTGGGATGTTCAGTTTTTGTAGCACAGCAAGCAGTCGCGAACGCTTTGCTTTGACAATCCTCGCGTTGTATCGCTTTTATAGGGAGTCTTTGTGTTAACAATGTGGAAACATTCTGAGCGTCTTCGCTTTCTTCAGTTCTTTCCTTATTCACAGTTTTACTCGAGTAAATGCCACGGTGTGGTTGGACAGAGTAGGACGAAAGAGTCAAAGTCTTGTTGCTCCATAGGCATGGGTAGCGGGTACAGCAAGGATGAGCGAGGAGAAAAAAGGAGCTGCAGCTGAGTCAGCCCCGCGGTGCACGAGTGGCAGCCGGCAGCTTCCGAGGGGTCCTCCATGGGAAAGGGCTTGGAAGCTTTTGTACCTGAGAAGGAGCAGCAAAGAATCAGCAAAGGGACAAGCAAAGAATCATTTGCCGTCCCTTCTGTGCAGCACGAGAGGAATGCTCTCGTTTGTCCATTTACACTGGTGTAGCCGTGCGATTCACCATGTCTTTGCTTCTGACATCAGCCGGATTTTGCAGCTGACTTCAGTGGGCTTAACCACTGTCCCTTGGTGCAGAACTTGATCCTGAAGATACTTAGCTTTATGCTCAGTTGATGTTGAAAATGACCGTGTTTTTACTATGGTTATACAACTGAAAGGCTTCATTGCATTGAGACTGCAGAAAATTCATTCAGAGCAGAACACAAAGCAGTTTGTGCTTTGCCTGCAGAGTTTGCCTAATTCAATCTCTAATAAAATACAGCAGTTCTTAGATGAATCTCAGTGGTGAAAAGTCGCTGACTTCAACTATTTTAAAATCAAGCCTGAACTTCATCTCTTACATTTTTGCTTCCTTATTTCCTTCTGTTGATAAAAGCTTTTCCTTTGTCTTTATAACCATCCCCCAAATGTTTCCTTCTCTTGTCTGGGGAAAAAGGCAGTGAAATTCTGTTGTCATTAATCCATCTCTGAGGGATCGTGGAGGACATTGTCCCACATGTTATTTCATCTTATCATTCATTTGTACCTGGGGTAGATAAGAGCATTCTGTAAAATTTTTGGGTTTCATGGGTGTACTTGTGTGTCTAAACTGAAGCAGACAACAATCTTCGCAAGGCCCAGAAAGGTAACCTGCTCTGAGAGAGGATTTTTGAAACAGTGGCTTCCAAAGGGTTCTGCTTCTGAGAAATTGCCAGTAAGAGGCCTGGTACTACGGAACTTCTTTGATTACTGCTGTTTTTAGCAGATCCAAAGGTACTGCCCAAAACTTGGGTGACCTTTTACTGTTTGGACTGAATATTAATTGTAGGAGAGAAAGAAAGCCCCGAAGGAGTTGAGGTCTTGATTTTTTTCAAGTTCTCAGATACAAGTTTACAACAGAACAATGGTACTGATGTGGGGAAAAAAAAAAAAAAAAAAGGGTGAGGAGACGTTAGTAGAGGAATTTCCATCTCCAAGAGTGTACAAAGCAAACCTTTGTGCCATCAGGCTTTTTAGACACCATAGCTGTAAACAACAGTACGCTAAATCAGTGCAGTGTATTTTTTTTAATGAGATAAGCAGCTGTATAGTACAATGCAGTGATGCCTGTGAGAATATTTTGTTAAAATGATGATATCCTTGATGTATTCATCAAGGAAAAAATTAATTAATTTTTTTTAGAAAAACTGGGAATTGGAAGCAATGTGACATTTGCAGAAGAAACGAGGAAGAAAACTATATGAGCAAAGCAGTTAACTAGTGATGTCTCTGTGCTCCCAAGTACTGACTATATCTGATGTTCTGCAAGAAAATTGGGTCAAAGTGACTTTCCAGTGCTTACTACATCATGAATTCTCAGTCTCACATCTTGCATCAGATTCACATTCTCAGCACATCTTCTCACCCCTGACAGAGCATCTCCTTGAAAATCTTCTCACATGCAGTATCTAATTTAATTTGTCACAAAGGTGCATGTAAGGAATATCTTCTGATTACCTCTGTACCAATGTTACAAACCTGCATGATCGGCAAGAGGATGTTGGGATGCTCAAATACACGGGGAAATATGATATGGTTGATATTTCCATAATTTAATAGAATTTGGATCATCTGACAGGAATAGGCTATCATAAATTGTTCCATAGGAAAAGGAGGACAAAGAGAGAAATGCTGGTAGTGCTTTACTTGCTTCCTACAAGAGGCACAAGCAACACTCCGAGTCCTGGCACTGTGAGAAATTTAAGTTCTTGTAGAACTAGAGGTGGAGATATTGCAGTGCTGTCTGTGAACTCACACTTGGAAACCAGGGCAAGCCATTTCTTCAGGTCTTCCTGTAATACATGAATGGGAAGATGATGACAAAGTATGATCAGGGAGAGTGTTCACAAGGCTGACTCGATGTTTTCTAGCTATTTGCTGTCCCTAAAAGCAAGTTGCCTCATATTTTCCATGGGGCAAGAACAGTTGTTAATACAGAAACTAACATGTGACCTTGTCCTGTGATAACTCATTCATGTTCCCATATCCAGTGTGTAAGTATTTGTGATAATGTCTTACTGGCAAGTGCTGGAAGTTGAAATTACAGTACACCAACCTTGACGTAAGGTGAAGTTTCATAGCTGTAAGTGAAATTTAAATATCAGAATCACTGACCTGGAAAAGTGAAAGCTGAGAAACTCATGTTTATTTGTTTGTTTTCACATGCAGCTTAGTTATTGTTCAAAAAGCATAACTTTACTTCAGCTGAAGGAATATACTGCACGTGTTGTATGAGAGAGTGCATGCACTGCTAGTCAAGCTCAAATATTGCAGAAACCCTTTCTGGCCTGAAAATCTGTGTCTTTCTGAATTGATAGTGCCTCCCTCTTTCTTCTCAATTGCTAGGGAAAGTAATAAGGCCCATTGATGGTACATTTATAACATACAAAGGCAGTAACAGTAGGATGGTTTTATTTCTCAGAGCGGCGGGAGGTTTCCTACACAAGGAGTCTTCTCCTCCTTCCCCTCAAACATAGCTTGTCACTTGCATTATTTTTGTGTGCTTTCTGTTTTAATTTTTCTGTATTATGACTTTCCTGCAGCCAAGAGATAGGAAAGCAACTTGTGCCAAGAAGATTTGTAGGTCTAAAATTGAATTAGATGACCTAGTCACAGAATCTGGGCTTGGGAAAGTCTTTATTCCCAGGATAGGTTGGTAGAGGCCTTGGGTATATTTGTCTTTCTCTTCACTAGCTGGATTCTCTCTTTAAATTTCACCTAACCAATGTTCAGCCATGCAGCTGTCTTGGGTATGTGCACTGGGGTAACATGACAAGGTTTAGGTAGCAGGGGGCTTCAGGGATGGCCTCTGTGAGCAGACTTTCCTTGCAGCTCAGGAAAGGCCCCATAGTAGAGCAGGCTGTCCACCATTCCTCATTTCTCTGAGCCTCTCGGGAGATGAAGTAAAAGAGGATGGAGGGGGGGGGGGGGGGGGTGGAAGGAGGTTTTAGTTTGCTTTTAGTTCTCACTGCCCAAGCCTGTTAGCAACAGACAATCAATTACTTTAATCTCCCCTATGCTAAATCTGTTTAATCTGTCGTGGTAATCTGTGAGCAATGTCCCTGTCCCTATCTCAAACCATCTGCTTTCCTCTTCATTATATTTTCTTCCCCTGTCCTGAGCTGGGGCAGTGGCAGAGCCATGTGGTGTTTAGCTGCCTGTTGGTATGGTAACCAGTATGGCAACTTGGTGGTTCCTGTTCCTCAGTGGTGGTACACAGCTGTATTTGACCAAATCTCTTCAGCAGTCGGGAGAGTAAAGGCAGATGGGTCCATGAAGCATCTAGGTTAAGTATCGCAGCCTGTGTTACACAGATGATCCTGTCACTCCTTCTGCCATTATCCTGAGAGGGCTGGTGGAAGAAAGCAAGAAAGGATGAACTAGCTTTGGTCAAGATGATCTCCAGAGGTCCCTTCCAACCCATAGGATTCTGTAATCTGTGTGTGATCCTGTAATCCTTATATCTCTTCAAGTGGGGAGGCAACTCTACTCTCTTCAGAAAACTTAAATGCTATAAAATGCGAGACTAAAATACAAATAGGTTTTGTCCACGGGACCTCTATCTCTTCTGTAAGTGCATTCCTCATGACTATCATCAGCTGATTTTAGTTATTTTCCTGCTCAAGTCATAGGAATATGAAATGAACTGGGAAAAAAAAACCCAAAAAATTTTATAGATTGATACCCCTATCCCTGAATAAGTGCCAACATACAGTTGTGTGCTAGGATAAAGGCCAGTTTGGAGTTAAGTTCACAAAGCAACCGCGCTGCTGT